GTGCCTGAGCCTGAGCCTGTGCCTGAGCCTGAGCCTGAGACTGAGCCTGACTGAGCCCCCATACCCTGCCTTATAACTTTTTCTTTAATTCGATAAGATTTTAAATTAATTTTTTGTTTTTGGTAAATCCTACCCTGCCCCACGTTACATTAGTTTTTTTATAATGGAACATTTCAAACATAATCGACCGACCGATAAAAAATTTTTAAAAAAAATTTACAAAAGATTATTTAAACTACCATACCTAACCTACCCTACCTTAAACTACCTTACCCTTTCTTACACTACCATATCCTACCTAACCTACCCTATCAAAATTATAACAAAGAGATTACGTGTCTTTGCACTACTACGTAAAACTAGCCCTTCATATACTTTATTTTCAAAATCACGATATAAATGAAAAACACAACAATTATAACATGTTGTCACAAGTGTACGTACTTTTGTGGAAAGGATTCTTTTCAATTTCATCCCGACTTGAAACGTCATCATGTTATTATTGCTACCGTTTCTCGCAAAATCATGACTCAAAAAGACCCTTTTTTTGAAAAAAATCATTTTATATTTACTTTTTAAAAACGTTGTTTGTACTTCTTACTTTTTCCTTTAAATTTTGTAAAGTTCTACTGCTTTTTTTATACATACGTTTAGAAGATACGTAGTAACAGAAGTTATTGATAAACAGTAATAAATGGCAATAACTTTCCTTACAAAACAAAAAATGGCAAGAACTTTCTTTACAACACAAAAAATAGCAAGAACTTTCTTTACAAAACAAAAAATGGCAAGAACTTTCTTTACAAAACAAAAAATGGCAAGGATTTTCTTTACAAAACAAGAGTGACAAAAACACCAAATGATATATCTTGTGACAATCCTGTTCAGCAAAAAATATAAATGTTTTATGCAAAGAAAAACAATTATTAACGTGGTTGGCAGAAGAAAACCGTTTGGAAAATGTATCCAGTTTCCTTCCGCGGCCTACTATAATATCAAAATATCGTCATGACGTATATATTTTGTCATAAAAAATTGAAGTAAAAGGATTCTGAATGAGCCGTAATAAAATTTCCGAAAGAAAGAAAAATGGTTTACCATACCCTACCCTACCCTACCCTACCCTACCCTACCCTACCCTACCCTACCCTACCCTACCCTACCCTACCCTACCCTACCCTACCCTACCCTACCCTACCCCTACCCTACCCTACCCTACCCTACCCTACCCTACCCTACCCTACCCTACCCTGCCCTACCCTACCCTACCCTACCCTACCCTACCTTACCCTACCCTACCCTATCCTACCCTATCCTACCCTATCCTACCCTACCCTACCCTACCCTACCCTACCCTACCCTACCCTATCCTACCCTACCCTACCCTACCCTAATCCTACCCTACCCTATCCTACCCTATCCTATCCTACCCTACCCTACCCTACCCTACCCTACCCTACCCTACCCTACCCTACCCTACCCTACCCTACTCTATCCTACCCCTATCCTACCCTACCCTACCCTACCCTACCCTGCCCTACCCTACTCTACCCTACCCTACCTTACCCTACCCTACCCTATCCTACCCTATCCTACCCTATCCTACCCTACCCTACCCTACCCTACCTTACCCTACCTTACCCTACCCTACCCTACCCTATCCTACCCTATCCCTACCCTATCCTACCCTACCCTACCCTACCCTACCCTACCCTACCCTACCCTACCCTACCCTACCCTACCCTACCCTACCCTATCCTACCCTACCCTACCCCTACCCTACCCTACCTTACCCTACCCTACCCTATCCTACCCTATCCTACCCTACCCTACCCTACCCTACCCTACCCTACCCTACCCTACCCTACCCTACCCTACCCTACCCTACCCTACCCTACCTTACCCTACCTTACCCTATCCTACCCTATCCTACCCTATCCTACCCTACCCTACCCTACCCTACCCTACCCTACCCTACCCCTACCCCTACCCCTATCCTACCCTACCCTACCCTACCCCTACCCTACCCCTACCCTGCCCCTGCCCTACCCTACCCTACCCTACCCTACCCTACCCTACCCTACCCTACCCTACCCTACCCTACTCTACCCTACCCTACCCTACCCTACTCTACCCTACCCTGTCTTAAAAACCAAAATATTTTTCAAGTTTCTTGAAAAAGCTTATTGACTGGTCAATAAATCTCAATAATTTTTTTGTTTTTCTTACTTCTGTACTTCACCCTCCCGTACCCTACCTTAGCTCACTTTATTTTACTCCAACCTACCCTATTCTTGGATAGAAGAATTTACACTTCGCCCACATAGTATTGATTTTTTCAAATTTCTTACACTTTTCATACAAGACTTACTGTACTTTTTTCCGTCTGGCTATAGGTCTATTATTAGCTAGTTAGTACCTTACTAACTAATCAATCAAAGAATGGCATCATCTTATAAAATAACTCCAACAGTCAGCAAAACCCAATAACTATCCTTTTACCTTAATTTTAAAAAAATACAGTACTAATAGCCACATTTTAATAAAAAATAGCTACAAAAAACAAATTCTACTGTTTGTTTTTCCATATTTTTTCGTAGTTCAAAAACTAAAAGTGTAACGGCATTGTTGTTATAAAGAACTTTAGTTATTCCTTGGAAGCCCTTCAATCTCCATGGATACATTTTGCTTCGCTTTTGGTGGACAGTGAAATCATGCAAAACTAAAGTGCTTTTGCAATTCCTGGCATAGCCAAGGTATAAATACGTCAAAAACTTTAAAGTTTGTGCTACAGTAGAGAAAGAGCTAAACCATTACTTTAGAACTGTTTCTTATGCATAAGCTTATTTACTTTACATATTCAAACGTCTACAATTACAATTCGGGAGATATAGATTAGATTAGTAGTTTGATGCCGTAGATTGTAAGGTACCGTGCTGATGTGCAAGGATGTTCAAGGTTCAGATGAAGACCAACGGAGCTATCCTTGAGTCTGACGTTTCCCATAATTGGGCCCCTGCCGAGATATTTCACTGTTCCTCGCGTCACTGACAAGGGAATGTTACAAACTACTCTACGCCAATTATAAAACGAGTTATACCGTTGGAAAGAGCGTTAAAAATTAATCTAGAATTAGCTTTTTTTAGCTGCTGAAACTATATGGCACGGCATATATAAGCGATCAGAGGATTTACATAGGGTTTTCTATTTGACTCTTCTCATTCGTCTTGAGCAAAACGAATGGATTGAAGCTTCGATCCAGTGTGGTTGAGTAGTTAAGAAGTTAGTCTGGGGTGCAAAAGGCGGAGAGTTCGAATCCCGTCGATTTCATTTTGGCGCCCAGCCATCATGACAAGAAGTTTTGGCTAGCCAAACAATATTTTGGTTAAACAAATATTTTTTAAGTCTTATTTTTTGCTTTTAGTCACTTTTAGAAAAAAATATTTATCACAAAATAGTATTTTTTGAACTTTAAAAATATACCTTTTAAACATATAAGTATATATAACGAGGTGTAGCTGCCGTGCCACATGGTTTCGGCAGCTAAAAAAAGTTGATTCTAGACTACTTTTTAACGCTCTTTCCAACGGTATAACTCGTTTTGTAATTGGCGTGGAGTAGTTTGTAACATTCCCTTGTGAGTCGTGGGTGAGGTGCTCCATAAGACTTCTGGCTTTCAATCATATACTCGTGTAGGCCAAGTGTAGATGTGCCTAGTTCCCGTGCACTTAGCACTACCCATTAAGGCGCCTGGGTTGGGCGGTGCGCGGAGTCGAACCAAGGTCCTTCCGAATAGCGAGCGGCGCCACAGCCACTGCGCTACCAAGCTACAGTAGAGAAAGAGCTAAACCATTATTTTAGAACTCTTTCTTATGCATAAGCTTATGTAGTGAAAATACCAAAAATGCAACCAATTAGCATAAAACGTTTAATTTCTTACTGAGAAAACGTTGTTACTTTCTTTTCTTTTCATTTCTTGTGTAGATTTCAACGCGCCGGTCTAATTGAACTTGTATGTTACTAAAAAACCGATTGCTGAGGTAATGTCAAAACTTCCGGATTGATAACATGGATTACACCAATCGTCTTCAGAATAAAGATGCTTTAATCAAATACTGACAAGCTCAAAGAATACTAGTCACATCTGTGTCATTTCAAGTTTATCACTTATCAATGTCAATTTTTTAAAAAGTTTGATTATCTGATAAAGTCACTAGCAGTTTATGGGCTGGATCTACTAGGGTTCTGTGCTAGGACTCTTGGCTAAGGCTCTAAGCTAGGGCTCTAGACTAGGGCTCTGGGCTAGGGCTCTGGGCTAGGGTTTTGTGCTAGGGCTTTTGGCTAAGGCTCTAAGTTAGGGCTCTGGGCTAGGGCCCCGGGCTAGAACTTTGGGCTAGTGCTCTGTGCTAGTGCTCTGGGCTAGGGCTCTGGGCTAGGGCTCTGGGCTAGGGCTCTGGGCTAGGGCTCTGGGCTAGGGTCCTGGGCTAGGGCTTTAAGCTACCATTGGGGCGGGCCGGCTTTGATTTTGGCTCAAGTTTGAATCGAACCGGTACAATAAATTAAAGCCCGTTCCGAAAAACGGGGCCGTTTGCGTAAAAAGAGTTTGAGCCAGCCTTAGGCAAAATTTAGCTATTTAGGGAATTTTCAGGCCCGGCCGATTGCTAACATCTACTCTGGACTAGGGTAAAATTGTATTTTTTGCAAAGACAATTTGTACTTATTGATTTGTCTCTAATCAAATACAATCACAACTTCAAATATCAATTTTCTAATTAGCGAAAGAATGTTTTTAATGTTTTTTTGCATAGCGCCATAATTGTTGTGTTTTTTGATTGACTATTATCAACCACATGGAGAGAATGTAAACATGATAAGAACTCGCTTAAAGAGTAACATAACAAGACTTCTTATGACAGAAACAGTGATTTTTGAAAAGTCATTTTTAACTGATTATAAATTTTTTACTTTTAAAAATTTTGAAACTAAAAGATTTTTTAAAAATGGACTTTGGAGACTTGAATGAAAAGCAAAAGCTTGAGTTGAGAGAAACTTGCAAGCGTATTTTACAACCTGCTAAAGGTATTTTTGCTACTGATGATACTGCTGGTAAGTCTATGTTTTAGCCCTACCCCTAGCCTCAGAGCCCTAGCCCAAAGCCCTAGCCCAGAGCCCTAGCCGCAAAGCCCTAGCCCAGAGCCCTAGCCCAGAGCCCTAACCCAGATTTCTAGCCCAGAGTCCTAGTTCAGAGCCCTAGCCCAGAGCCCTAGCCCAGAGCCCTAGCCTAGATTTCTAGCCCAAAGTCCTAGTTCAGAGCCTTAGCCCAGAGCCCTAGCCCAGAGCCCTAACCCAGAGCCCTAGCCCAGATTTCTAGCCCAGAGTCCTAGTTCAGAACCCTGGCTCTAGCTCTAGTCATATCCTTTCTATGGTTAACCATAGCTCTAGCCTTAGTCATATCCTTTCTAAGGTCAACCCTAGCTCTAGTCGCAGTTCTACTGTACTGGGACTGCCCTTGCTTTTTTCCAATCGTACCCTTTCTATAACATGCTCTGACTCTATTGGTATTTTTTTCTATGCTTTATCATATACATTAATTTGTTTTACGTTTTTTAACAGTAGTTCTTCAGCCGGCCTTGGCCCACGACTAGAAGCTCTCGGCAAAGAAAATTCGACCGAAGAACGTCGAAAGTACCGCCAGCTTTTGTATTCAGCGGCGAACTTGTCCGATCACATTTCAGCTATTATTATGATTGAAGAGGCTTTTCGACAGGTCTGACTTTTAAAACTTTACATGGCTGAAAACCAAGTATTTTACAAAAAAAAATTATTTATTAAAAAATTTTAATAATTTTAAAAATGAAATTTTGACTCTCCAATAATTTTTGGTCCACTGCGTTTTTTCCAATATTTTTTGTAAAATTTTGCTTTTTTCTAAGACGTCTTGTGACATTTCGTCTTTATCGATTTTTTTGGGTAAAGAATTAATGTCAAATACGAAATGGCTTACTTGATACTATTTTTGTACTATTTAAAAAATTTTTGATTTTCCGATAATTTTTGTGGCATTTCGTTATTTTTCTAATAATTTTTGTGGCACTCCGTCGCATTTTAAATTTTTGAAATATATTGACATTTTTTTGATATTTTTTTAATTTCTAAAACTTTTTTTTTCATATTTAATATTCCAATATTTTTTGTGACATTTCGTCTTTTTTCCAATATTTTTGTGGCATTTTGTTACACCATTAAAAAGTAGCATTTATAACAAGAATAAGATGATTTAATATAAATAAGAGTTTTCTTTAACTTTTTCAAAAACGTTTTTTACTACGTATTTTAGAAAAATGACGATAACGAGCTATTTGCCGAAGTTTTGGCTAAGCAAGGTATTGTCACTGGAGTCCAAGCCGATTTAGGCTTATTGCCGTTGAATGCTCATGAAACTCATGTTAAGGGTCTTGACGGTCTTGAAGAACGCCTGAAAGCCTATAAAGAAGAAGGAGCTGGATTTGTGAAATGGAGGGCTGCAATCAATATTGGCGATGGAAGGCCAAGTCGAGAAGCGTTGACTAAAAATGCAGCTGAACTGGCACAATATGCAAAGTTGTCACAGTTGAACGGATTGGTGCCGTTTGTTGAACCTGATGTTGTTAGAGATGGTTCACATAGCATTGAAGAGTGTCAGAAGGTGGGGTTTTTAATTTAGCAAACCTAAACCTAGCCTACCCTACCGTACTCTATCGTACCCTACCCTACCTTACCCAACCCTACCCTACCCTACCCTACCCTACCCTACCCTACCCTACCCTACCCTACCCTACCCTACCCTACCCTACCCTACCCTACTCTACACTACCCTACCCTACCCTACCCTACCCTACCTTACCCTACCCTACTCTACTCTACCCTACCCTACCCTACCCTACCCTACCCAACCCTACCCTATCCTATCCTACCCTATCCTACCCTACCCTACCCTACCCTACCCTACCCTACCCTACCCTACCCTACCCTACCCTACCCTACTCTACCCTACCCTACTCTATCTTACCCTATCATACACAAAACTAAGCTCTGCTGTGCCTTAAGTCCTACCTACAGTATCCTACTGTACTCTACCCTCAGCAGCACTGTACTGTGTGTCTTTTCATATAGATCTTACTGTACACTAAATTATACTGTATCATAAGCCTTACCGTAATAGACACCCTACCGTATTCCGGCTTTATATGTTACGTTTTTAGGCCACAGAACTAGCCCTAGAATACACATTCCGTGCCCTACACGCAGCCAATGTCTATCTGGAAGGCACAATTCTCAAGCCAAACATGGTGACTTGTGGAGCCGATTATTCAGGTCATCCACCCATGCCTTCCGAAGTCGCAAGGGCTACATTACTAGCGCTACAACGTCACGTTCCATCAGCTCTACCTGGATGTGTGTTCTTGTCTGGAGGGCAGGGGGAGATCGAAGCCACCAAGAACTTGAATGCCATTGCGCAACTACAGACAGAGAAGCCGTGGCATCTGACATTTTGCTATGGTAGAGCTATTCAAGGGCCAGTGATGAGAGCTTGGAATGGGAAGGATGAGAATATTAAGATTGCTCATGAGGTTCTTCATCATTATGCCAAGGTAGTTTTGTAATATATAATGTTATACTGTATAGAAGGCTTATTTTGGCTCAAAGTGTTTAAAGGAAGGTGAGATAGACTTCCCAAGCTTATGTTTAGGCTTAAGCAGAACGAACGTAAGGTTAGACGGCTTTGACTATGGTTTGGGCTATGCTTAAACTAGGGCTTAGGCTAGAGCTTATGCTAGGGTTTAAACTAGAGTTTTTTATAAAAGGTTTAGGCTTATTAGACTTAGGCTTATTAGGTTTAGGCTTAGTAGCCTTAGGTGTAATCACCTTGCGCTTAGTATTCTTAAGCTTAGCAGGCTTAGGTTTAGTAGGCTTAGGCTTAATAGGCTTAGGTGTAGTAAGTTTATGCATATTAAGCTTAGGCTCAGTAGGCTTAGGTGTAGTAACCTTAGGCTTAGTAGACTTAGGTGTAGTAGCCTTAGGCTTAGGCTTAGTAGGCTGAGACTCAATAGGCTTAGGCTTAGCAGGCTTAGGCTTAGTAGGCTTATTCTTAGTAGAAGTGGGCTTGGTAGGGTCAGCTTATAAAGCTCAGGCTTACTTTTACAAAGTTTAGGCTTAGTATTAGAAGGCTTATTGGTAGGTTTTGATTTAGACAAACTTATGGTTTTAAATTAAGCTTAGTTTCAAACTTTGGCTTTAGTTTAGGCTTAAATTTTTTACAAAAAACTAAGACTTGCCATTTTAGAACAATGGTTTGGCTCAACAAGGTGAATACATGTACACCGTGCTGGTACCGTAACTTCTACATTTTAAAAAAACTACAGTAATTTTTTTTCTTTTTAATATTAGATATTATACTAGCACTATGTGGTAGCTCCAAGTTTCGAATAAACTTTGTCATTTTTAAAATTTTCAGTTTTTTCAAATTGACATTTCTTAACGATACTAGTCTAAAACATCACAAGTATACTTTATTCTACCATTCTCAAAAGCATTAGTAACTATGTAGTATTTTGAGTCCTGAAACGAAAACTTTAGTCATTCTTTTTGTCCACCAACGGTTGTAGCAAGACCACCTTGAGAAGAATGATCATCAACAATGCCACCAATGCCAAAATAAACGAAATTGCAGCGATTAGGGCCATAGTGCGACGTGCTTGAGTACCTGGATGATGGGATGGGTGGGGCTCCTGAAAATTGTGTCATTTCTTCTCTGAATGTTTCTAAAGTCCTCTACACTGCCTACCCTACCCTATCCTACCCCACCCAACCCTACCCTACCCTACCCTACCCTACCCTACCCCATCTTACTGTACCATACTAGGCCTTACTGTATTGTAAATTTTACTGTACCTAGGTCCTACCGTATTTTAGGCTCAACCGTACTCTAGGCCTTACGGTAAACTGGGCCCTACCGTAACCTGAGCTTTTTCGTACTCTGTGCCCCCGTACCTTATGTACTAGAGTACCCTAAACCCTATTGCACTCTAGGTTTTACCGTACTCTAAGCACTACCATACACTATGTTCTACGATACCCTAAGCTATACCGTACTCTAGGCTCTACCGTATTCTACGCCTGACGATAGACCGCACGTTAGGGTTTACCGTACACTGACTTCTATTGTATCTAGGCTTTACCGCACCTGAGGCTATACTGTACCATAGGCCCGACCGTTCCCTAGACTTTACCGTATTCCTTACAAGCCGTAAATCCTACCCTTCTTAGGTCCTGCCGTGTTCTAAACTCTACCGTACCTTAGGTCCTACTATATTCTACATCATAACGTGCTCTAGGCTCTACCGTACCTTAGCCTCTACCGTACGTACCCCTGCTCTACCATATCATGTCTATTGTGAAGACTACTGTAAATATACTGTAACTTACTGGAGGTTCCGTACTACTACTGGGTGGTGGCGGAGGTGGCGGGGGAGGTGGTGGCGGAAGCGGAGTACTATGTGGTTCATGAGTAGTAGTACTTTCTGGTGTTTCGGTGGTAGTAGTACCAGGCGGTTTTGTAGTTGATACTTCTGTAGTACTAGTAGATGTTTCAGTCGTGTGAGGTAGAGGGGGAGGTGGTTTTGGACTGGTCACTGTAGTTCCTGGTTCCGTGGTTGTGTCATTACTGTAGCTTGTGGTCATGTCCGTAGTTACAGTAGGATCTGGGGGTGGGGGAAGTGTTGATGGTGTGGTACCATTTGGTTCTTCGGTAGTCGGTTCTACCGTATAGTTGCTACTGGTCGTATTGAACGGTTCTTCTGTAGTGTGTACGGTAGGTGGGATCACTGTAACATGAGTGGTGTTACTTGGCTCTTCTGTACTACTGTAGGTTGTGTTCTCTGGCCCTTCCGTAGTAGGTACTGTAGGAGGGATTACTGTAACATGAGTGGTGTTACTTGGCTCTTCTGTACTACTGTAGGTTGTGTTCTCTGGCTCTTCCGTAGTAGGTACTGTTGGAGGGACTACTGTAACATGAGTGGTGTTACTTGGCTCTTCTGTACTACTGTAGGTTGTGTTCTCTGGTACTTCTGAAGTCGGTTCTACCGTATAGTTACTACTGGTCGTATTGAATGGCTCCTCTGTAGTGGGTACTGTAGGAGGGATTACTGTAACATGAGTGGTGTTACTTCGCTCTTCGGTGATGGTGCTACTGTAAGTCGTATTGAATGGGTCCTCGGTTGGTTCTACAGTATAGTTACCAGGTTCTTCAGTTGGGTCAACAGCACACTGGAAACAAAGTTTTTGCTTTTTTCTTTTGTAACGAAAGTTCTTGCCATTTCATGTTTTGTAAAGAAAGTTTTTGCCATTTTACGTTTTTTAAAGAATGTTTTTGCGATTTTTTATTTTGTAGAGAAAGTTGTTTCTATTTTACGTTTTGTAAAGAAAGTTCTTGCCATTCCTTGTTCTGTAAAGAAAGTTTCTGCAATAAAAACCAAAAAACCCACCACAGCAAGTTCGTCGTAAAAGTCTTGATATACAGCTCCGGTTGCAACCGTTTTATCGGATACCTCAATGGTACACTTGGTGCTATCGTCCCGGTAGTGGAGTATCACTTGGACAGCATACGGAACTAAAGCCGCGCTCTTAGCCTTAATGCCTTCACGGTTCGGGCATGTCCAAATTGTGTCCTCTCCATATTCAAGCTGAAATTCGACAGTTTTTAAAATGTAACGAAATGTAAAAAAATATTGGAAAAGTAAACGAAGTGTCACACGTTTTATCGAAAATATAAACAAAGTGTCAAAAAGTTAACTGGAAACTGAAAAATGTTTTAAAATTTTTAAATTGCTAACACTAACAACTTGTTTTACATTCAACGCAATGTCACAAAGTTTATTGGAAAAATGAACAAAGTGTCAAAAATTTTATAGGAAACGAAAGCAGTGTCAAAAAGTTAATTAAAAACAAAAAATGTTTTAAAATGGCCAAAATGTTAATTAACAACTTTTTTTACATTCGACCAAATGTCACAAATTTTACTGGAAAAACGAACGAAATGTCAACTAAGAGGCGACCTACATAAGCAGGCGGCGCGAGTTGAGAAGGCCGCAAGAGCGGGCCAGTCTAAGGTTAAGGAGTGGACTCGAGCGGTCGAGTGCCATATAGCATATTTGGGTCTTTATATTGGTATGTGTAACGATTGTATGTCTACCATATGTATTAATAAGTTCAACAATAAACTGTATTATAAAAGCCCTTTAGCAAGGATTTAACTGTCACAAACTTAACACTTACTCGAAATGGTTCACTCTTGTTGTAAATCTCCACATATTCTCCGATAGTGTGTGTCTCATTATTTCCGTTTATAGTTTTACTCAGATATGCTGTATACAATTCTTGGTTGTTTGGTGCAACGTGGTAGACCCAGTATGTCATATTGTCTGGGAAAGAAATGTGAATGCGTACTCTGAAAATGTTAGTTTTTATCATTTTTTGGTTTGTAAAGAAAGTTCTTGCCAGTTTTTGTTTTTCAAAGAATGTTCTTGCCATTTTTTGTTTTGTAAAGAAAGTTCTTGCCATTTTTTGGTTTGTAAAGAAAGTTCTTGCCATTTTGTGTTTTGTAAAGAAAGTTCTTGCCATTTTTTGTTTTGTAAAGAAAGTTATTGTTAGTTTCCGAAATTTTAAGTTTAAAAAAATGAAATCGGTACTTACAAATTGGTGTAGTCACATTCAATCGCGGTCAATTGGTATTTCAAATTGACCAATTCGGTTATCAATGTCACATTTTCGACCACCTGCGCCCTTATCCCAAGACTTGACAAAAGCAAAAACCAAAGGATCAGAGTCATTCCGTTCGACCGCTTCCCAACTCGATTTGTGACCAACAATGACTTTTTTTGGGTTTTTGAAATTTTTGAAAAATTTGAAATTTCGAAATTTTGATTTTTTTTTTATTTTTTGTTGTTGTATATACACAATGATTTTTTATTTTTTAGTTTTGAATAGGATAATGTTGAAAAATCAATACTATGTGGACGAAATGTAAATTTTAGTAGTTTAGGACAGGATAGACCACTATAGAACAAAGCAAAGCACGGCTGGAAAGGGCAATATAGGACAGGACACAACAAGGCTAGACCAAGTCAGGGCAGGGTAACACAGGACATTGTCAAGACAAGGCCGAAGCAAGGTAGGGCCAAGGCAAAGAAAGGGCAGGGCACATCAGACTAAACCAGGCTAAGCCAGGACAGAGCGTAAGGGCAAGGATGACCAAAAGCAGGAAAAAGGCAGGGAAAAAGCAATGCAAAGGCAGGGGCAAGGCAGGGGCAGGGGCAAGGGCAAGGGCAAGGGCAAGGGGCAAGGGCAAGGGCAAGGGCAAGGGCAAGGGCAAGGGCAAGGGCAAGGGCAAGGGCAAGGGCAAGGGCAAGGGCAAGGGCAAGGGCAAGGGCAAGGGCAAAGGCAAAGGCAAAGGCAAAGGCAAAGGCAAAGGCAAAGGCAAAGGCAAAGGCAAAGGCAAGGCAAGGGTAGTATGGTTGGGCAAGGTAAGATAGGATGTAGTAGGGCAAAATAGATAAATTTTTATTGTTTTTGATCATAATTAACAAGATATTATTACACTGAAACAAATCTGTAGATCAAACTACATTTATTCTGCTCCGAATCGATGTTGTTTCGTAGCCAAAAAAAGATTTTTTCTTTTATTTTTTCTAACGTTAGCTGAGCGCATAAATGTTGTAGTTAATGTTTTTCGCAGTCTTGAAGCTCTCAAAAGCGTCGAATTCGACGAGATATTGTAAGGTTTACAACTTTTAATTTATTTTTTAAATTGGAGTCAATTTTTTATTTTAAAATTTAAAATTTTGATGTAAAATTATATTTTGTCCTTACCTTGCCTCTGCCTTGCCTTAGCCTTGCCTTAGCCTTGCCTTGCCTTGCCTTGCCTTGCCTTGCCTTGCCTTGCCTTGCCTTGCCTTGCCTTGCCTTGCCTTGCCTTGCCTTGCCTTGCCTTGCCTTGCCTTGCCTTGCCTTGCCTTGCCTTGCCTTGCCTTGCCTTGCCTTGCCTCTGCCTTGCCTTAGCCTTGCCTTAGCCTTGCCTTGCCTTGCCTTGCCTTGCCCTAGCTTTGCCCTAGCTTTGCCCTAGCCTTGCCCTAGCTTTTCTAGCTCTGCCCTAGCTCCGAAACCTAGACCCAAGCCCCAGCCCAGAACACTAACCTTGTCCTAACTTTACCCTAGCCTTTGCCCTAGCCTTGCTTCAGCCTTCTCTTGAGTTGCCCGTACCTTGTTTTTTCTTGGCTTCGCTTCGCCCCTGTCTTGGCTTGCCTTGCCGTCTCATGCTTTTCCTACTCCTAGCTCTTGCTTACCCTACCTTTCTTTAACTAAAAATTACCAAATTATTTACATTTCGTCCACTTTATATTGATTTTTCTTTACTTTTCAGTTTCTTCATTCCAAAATATGGTGAAGCTTCTAACTGTTCGTCAAATCAACGATATCTTGATTAGGCACGTTGAGAATCAGAACCTCAATAATGGAAAGGCTTTTAAACCAAAAGATGTAGAATATACACCAAAAGACTCGGCTTCGTCTTGTATCATACCCTTAGGGTCGGATCCTTCAATTCGGATATTTTACCGAGGGAAATCAGATCAGACTAGATTTGGGAAGATTTTAGAGGATTTGGACACTTTTGCTGGTAATTTTTTAAAATTAAAATTTTTTAACTTAAAGTTTCAAATTTTCGGTAGGAACTAGGGTACGGCGAAGCCTAGGGCATTTATATGGTCCAACGCACAGTGGGACCTAACATCTTATAGTAAATTTGACCCTAGACTACAGTAAGAGCTAGAATATCGCAAAGCTTCTAGTACAATTAGGCCCATTGTTGTGTAAAGTACAGTACGGTAAGGCATAAGCCACAGTAGGTCATGGGGTACGGGAGGACTTAGTTTAAAGTGCAATAAAGCAGAGTAGGATACAGTAATGCAGAGTATGGTAGGATTTAAAATACGTTTTTTTCTACAGTACTATGACTATTTTCAGTATGGCTAGCCTACAAACATAACCAAGGCCCAGATGTTCCTATGGGAATGCCAAATCACATTCCTTTTCATGCTGTCACTGCTTGTGTCGACAAAATTGGTAAGCCACTTTTCAACTGATAGTACTGTATCAGACAAAATATTAAAAATCGATGTTTTAGATCTCAAACACCGTACCATAAAATCAGATTTGGACATATTGATGACCGGTCTAGTCACCTGGGTAGGTCGCTCATCCATGGAAATTACTATGCATTTGAGTCAGAAATACGCTGAAAAGGAATATAGGTAAGAAACAAAATTGTACTCTTTACTGAAAAGGTGTACAAGTGTTAGTACTTTTGGCAAAACTTAGAATTACCTTTTAAGCCTATTTTTTTGTTATACAGCTTTATAAAAAGCTATTGTAGAAACGTCCTAACGGCCAAATTTGTAATGGTAACACTTGACCCAAAAAGTCAGAAAGCTGTCTCAAATGTGCCATTGAAACTGAAAACAGACAGAGATCAAAAACTGTTCGAAAAAGGAGAATGTAAGTGGTTCTTCAGCCTTCTTTTACCTTACCTTTCCCTATCATACCTTATCCTACCTACCCAACCCCACCATACTCTACCCTAACCTCTAACAGCCTAACCTACCCTACCCTTTGCTTTACCTCATCCTTCAGATGCCAAACAAGTCCGCAAGTCCCGAGAAGAAATGTCATTGTACAAAAACCCACCCACAGAAATTGAAAGAGCCATGTTGCACGACCTATTCTTAAAGACGATGGATAAGAAAAATAACTTACATGGCCGTTTACCACCCGGTCATGTTTGGATGAACGATGCTAAAGTTGAGAATCTGATTATATGCTTTCCTGTTAAGAGGAACATGTACGGAAAGATTTTTGGTGGATACTTGATGAGGACGGCCTTTGAAACGGCTTTTGCTAATGCTGCTTTGTTTTCGTGAGTTTGTGTTTCATAGTTGACAAAATGATGACTTAAAATTTCCATAGAACAACCTATCATAATATTACACTTGACTCTTGTAATTTATTTTCTTGCCCTTGGTAATTAATATTCTCGCCTATCGTAGTTCGTTATGTAAGCAACTCAACAACCCTTGCAACTACAAATAAAGCAACACGTTTCAGAAAATCCTTGCCAGATATAATGGCGGTAGATTCAGTAGTATTTAAAAAAGGAGTTGAAATCGGGTCCCTATTGCTCCTTCAATCTCAAGTTAGTTACTCATCAGACTGCTTTATGCAACTCGCTGTATCAGCACACGTTGTTGATATCAACAGTGGAGAGTCGGAAACAACCACAACGTTCCAGTTTACATTCCGAACTGACAAAACCGTACCAGTCGTACTACCTCAAACCTACTCGGACGGAATGACATATCTGAACTCACGAAGGCATTTTAATTCTAGTGCTCATTTGTAATTTATATTTATTAATAGTTTTAAATAAAGTGGTTCAATATTGTAAATAGTCAGCCGCATCTTGGCATTTGTCAGGTTCTGCAACGAAAAATCAGGATTTGGCATTGTGTGTCAATTGAAATTCGTCGATTTATTTTTATTATTATTCACCTATTCTTTCTAACTATATCGGATCAACTTCGAGATATAAACCACGTAACTGTATTGTACTGAAGGGTCATCCCAGGGCTGACAGCCCTACAGATATAAACCATCAAGCCAGAGCCGTATATTATTGAAGGACCATCATATTTATCTTTTTTTTCTAACTGTATCCAATGAACATGTTTGATAAATAAATCACGTAATTAGAGCCGTATTGTGCTGAAGATCATCACTGTCTTCAAAATGATCTTAAAGACGTAAACCATCACGACAGTACATTATTGAAGGACCATCACAATCGTTGAAGTTGAAACAAAAAGCTAGAATCGTATCTCTTATTTTTACAATGATGTAACTGTGCCTTCAGTAAAATAAATTTGTAGTTTTTAGTAGTAACTTTTTACAAAGAGTTGATTTTACAAACAAGTTGAGTTTAGCATGTTCGACATGTCTTACCTAGTGTAATATCACTTTCAATAATCGTTACCGTCTCTCTCGCTTTTTAAATCAATAAAAAATCTCTAGCTCGATCTGATTTTAATCATAAACTATGATAGAGGATGTTTAAAGCAGTATACAGGGTCTTTAAATAGGTTTGTTCGCTGATAATCACAAAACGGAGTATAAAAGAGTTCTTCTTGTCATTTTACCCGTTAACTTGGTAGTTAAAGCAGGGTGACAGGAGTTTTTAATTTGATGATAAGTAAATGAACTTTGATTTATGGGTATCTTTGTTCATGAATTTAACATAACCGGTGTGGAACGCTTAGAATATGTAGATTAAAGGGCAAAACTTGACTCAAACAAAATTTTCTTTTGAGTCGAGTGTACTAGTTGACCTTTTAGAAATCAAAACAATATTCTACTTACCAAATCTTACAGTAATGTATATAATTAGATGTCCGACGACCTGTTTAACATTAATTATCATGTCTACAGCGATAATCAACATAATTTTAATGAAAATCGCCAAATGTTATGAATTATCGCGTTTTTTCTCGGCCAAAACGTGAAGAACATAAACAAAGTCTTTTTCGAGTCTTTGCAAGGTCAGAGGAACAATCTTTTTACGTTCTTTACACGAAGTTTTTGTTTACTTGCAAAAAGCCGTTAAAGTTTTTTTAAAATTTCTAGTTCCTTCAGATTTTGTTACCTAAACCTTATAGTTCCAAACCACAATATTTTTGATAACTATCTTCACTTTGTATCGATAAGACCTTGCAGAATCTTTCGTGGTTTGTGCTCGAACTTTTTAGAGTTTGAAAAAATTCTTTGTAAATAGTTTTGTAAACAAAAATATTGTTTTAGATGGGCAAAGTCCTTTTGGCCATCGTGGCCGCCGTTTTCGGCGTCAGCCTGTTTTTTGTGTTGAATCGACCAGCTACAAAGTTGAACTTCCCCAAGAACGGATATTATGGCACGGGTGAGCCAAAGAACGACGACACCAGCATCAATCCTTTCAAGATTCAGGTCTCGGACAAGGATATTAATGTAGGTGGAGGTTTTGAGGGATTTTTGGTTGTTGTTTGGATTGTTGAGGTTGAATTGGTAGTTATAAGATAGAGGAGAAAGTGGGGATTATTTTAATGTAAAATACGTTATGGAAAATGTTTTTAAAATGTAAATATGAAAGGTTTCCTGAGAAACATCAAAATTTTGCGGATATTGACATAGGTGGTTGTTTTGAAATAAATCATATTTATTATGTTTCTGGCTGTCATAAATTATTCTTTAATAGATAGTGATGAGTCTAAAGATACTTTTAGGTGTGAGATAACGTAAATACGATATATTTTAATATAGTTTTTGAACTGTTTTGGCTACCAACATCAAAATTTAGAAACTAAAAAGATAGGTATAGGTGGATGTTTTGAGGAAAATGTGTTGAATTTTTAAACGAATGTCAAATAAAATGTTAGTAATAAGATAGGCAAGGTTTTACTGTGCCTTTTTTTGGATTTAAAAACCTTGTTTTAGGACCTAAAAGAGCGTCTGAAGAACGCGCGTGTTGGGCACGAAGGTCTGGAGGATGTTCAAGATTTTAACTACGGATTCAAGAAGACAACCCTGATGCAATGGCGTGATTACTGGATGAACAAGTACGATTGGCGTAAAGCTGAAGCTCAATTGAATGCTTTTCCTCAATTTACGACTCAAATTGAAGGTCTGAAGATTCATTTTATTCACGCTAAAGCTGCTTCTGGCTACAAGAAGGTGGTACCACTGCTACTTGCTCATGGCTGGCCTGGTAATGTCTATGAGTTCTATAAGATCATACCAATGTTGACTGATCCTAAGAAGCACGGATTTGGAGGAGAAGTCGCGTTTGAAGTGGTTGCTCCGTCTATGCCTGGTTATGGATGGTCTGAGGCTAGTCACAAGTCTGGTAAGGGGTTTTCCATGTAGAAATGGCACTGCATATGGTTGGAAAGAAAGTTTCTGCAATTTTTCGTTGTGTAAAGAAAGTTCTTGCCATTTTTTGTTTTGTAAAGAAAGTTCTTGCCATTTTATACTTTTTAAAGGAAGATCTTGTCATTTTGAGCTTTGTGAAGAAAGTTTTTGCCTTTTCCCAATATTAATGATTTTTACGGACCGTTTCACAAATTTTCACCCTTTTCAGGATTGTCCGCCTTCGCCGTGACCAGAATTTTCAAAAAGCTCATGACCGACCGCCTGAAGTTCCCCAAGTTCTTAGTCCAAGGTGGAGACTGGGGATCACTCGTGGCTAGCGCCATGGGCAAACTTTACCCCGAATCCCTGATTGGAGTCCACTTTAATATGGCATTCATAGCTAGCGGAGCTTCGAATTTCCTAAAAATGATCGCTGGCTCATATTACCCATCGCTGGTGTTCGAGGACAAGACTTTCAGCCAGTACTCGTTGAAGAAGATGTTGTTGTTCATGGTGAAGGAGAGTGGTTACATGCACATTCAGTCCACAAAGCCTGACACTGTTGGAGTGGGCTTGAACGACTCGCCACTTGGATTGTTGGCTTATGTTGGCGAGAAGTTCAGCACCTGGACTGATCCAACCTTCGTGAACAAACAGGATGGAGGATTGGAGAAGTATTACACCAAGGATGAGGTATTGACCATCATTTCCATTTACTGGTTCAATCAGAATATTCTCGCTTCTCAACGATTGTACAAGGAAACTTTCGGCGATCCACATTACTTGGCCTTCTCAAGGTAGGTTTTGAAGGTTAGCGGCCTGCTGTCTGAAAATGGGGTAGGGTAATATAAGGTAAGGTAGGGCTAAGTAGGGTAGAGTTGGTTGACGTAAGGTACCTTCAGGGGACATGTTATACGAATGCTGTAAAGATTTGGCCATTTTTTGCCTTGTAAAGTAGACATGAGCAACGGGCCGGGCCTAACTTTCAGGCCCGGCCCGTTTTTGATTTTGCTCAGGCCCGGCCCGGCCCGAAGGTAGGGCCCGGCCGGGCCGGCCCGTTGCTCATGTCTATTGTAAAGAAAGTTTTTGCCATTTTTGTTTTGTAAAGAAAGTTCTTGCCATTTGCCATTTTTTGTTTTGTAAAAAAAGTTCTTGCCATCTTTTGTTTTGCAAAGAAAGTTCTTGCCATTTTTTATTTTCTAAAGAAAGTTCTTGACATTTTTTGTTTTGTAAAATACGTTTCTTCTTCCGTCGATAAAAAAAATTCGAGTTTTAAAATTTCGAATTTTCAGTGCCTACTGCTCAGCCCCAACCGGCTTCGCCCATTTCCCTAACGATTTGGTCCAAACTCCGCACGAACTGCTTCTGCCCGGCTACAACCTGACCCACTACACTTATTTGGAAAACGGCGGCCATTTCGCGGCCTTCCAGTTCCCAAAACAGCTGGCCACGGATGTTATCAAGTTCACTAAGTCCAGAGTCTTCTAATCTCAATTTTTAAAAATTTTATCATATTTTGGCTAGCTATATTGTTGTTTCTGTGGATTAGGATGAGTTACGAGTATGATTTTGAATTTTTTAAAATTTAAATTTTTTGAAATTTCGAAAAAATCAATTTTTAAATATTTTTTTTGCCATTTTGTACCTTATACCTTCAAATAATCATCAATTTAATAAAGTAAAGTGAGTTTATTGAGCTCAATATCACAATATGTTATTTAAAAGTAGTGTTAATAATCAAAAATGGTTTGAAATAATATGAAAATAAGTTAAAATGGACAAATATATACATTATTCATCAATTATAGGCCATACTTCATCGAGTAAAGGCCATTACTTCATCGATTATAGCCCCTTCGTCAACTATGGGGTACTTCATCAGTCGCAGGCCATGAATTCATCAATCATAAGCTCTTCTTCACCTTGGGCTTCTTGAAAGGCAAGGAATCCTCCATTTGCTCATCATCATATTCAACATGTTCTTGACGTTTCATTGGCCGTCGCTTCTTCTTTCGCCGTGATTCGCCTTCTGAAGTCGTTCCACGCGATGTTGAAGCTTCAGCATCGCGCGACGATCCGGATGTATCTCGGCCTTCCGACATCAGCTCTCTTGAATCCTCATTTTCGTCCACCGAGGCTTCTGAAGTCTCTTCTTCCGTGGAACCGGGCATTCCCTCAAGATCTTCGGCCGCTGATTCTTGGGAATCGACCTGAGATTCTTGTGAGTCGAATTGAGATTCCTGAGAATCAAACTGAGATTCTTGTGAATCCTGTGAGTCTTCTTGGGATTCTTGTGAAACTGGACTGTGTGAGGGTAGCGACGATGCCATACTAGATTCTTCGGCGATTTGGGCAAGAATCTGTTGTTCTACCTTCAAATCACATTCATCTTCATCTTCCCCAGCTGGTCCAGCCCCATCTCCTTCACTAGATCGCCGCCTGGTGCCATTTCCGTTAGCTGAGCCACGTCTGAGACCATTTCCATTAGCAGAACCACGCCTGGAGCCATTGTCATTGCCATTTCCTGTTGGTGACAAAACTCGACGTGCTGGTTCAGGCACAGTTAGATGTGTTTCAGGGACGCTTAAACGGCGTCGTCCATGATAAATATTAGAAGATGCGACTGGGTCGATTGCTGAAGCAGGACGTTGAGTTGCTTTAGGCTTCTTGTCCGACATGATGAAAAAGGAGAATTCCTGAAAATTAAAAATTTATAATTGAAAAAATCCTCCATAATTACGTCAACAACATAAATCACATCGTAAAATTCTAAAAACATCACAAAAAAATAAAAGAATAAAACCGAACCAAAAACATTATGGATAATATCGGAATCCCCTACCTTCAGAACTATAGCTAACAAACAATGCAAACTGCATGAAAAGTTCATAATCAATCTATAAAATGCCTAAATAAACAAAACACTAAAGAAAACCATCGATAAACATAAAAAAACATCCAAAAGTCATGGATAATATCGAAATTTTCCTCAAAACGTAAAATTTTCAAAAATCAGCTAAAATTTAGTGAATTTTTAGAAAATATAAAGTAGAATTAATGTAAAAATACCAAGATAACCTTGTGAAAACAATATCGCTCAACTTTAGATCCAACAAAAGCCAAATTTCAACAAGAACAAGGTCAAAACCTATCATGGATAACATCGGAAAACGGATGAAGAAAAAAGATTTAAAACTTGAAAACGCTGTTAATTAAAGAAATAAACATTTTCCAAACTATCATCCTCAAAATTCCTCAAATTTTCCCACGAAATGGCCGAAAATCAACGGCAAATCTGGCGATCTAGACGGAATGCAACTATCGATCGTGTCGGCCGTTTTTGGTAAATATGCCGATGAAAATAAGTCACAGAGGGACGAATGTGTAACAAATAGACGTATATAGATGTGTTAATTCTACCACAATACAATTCGAATACTTTCGTTGTGAATCAACGCCATTTTCAATAATCTTATCCATCAACTAACATGTTTATTCAACAAATTAAAGTTTAAAGCTTGTTTTCTATGTTATGTCCTAATTTTTAACAACTTCCTAATGATTTTACATTAATCTACGTCTTCTTCGACTGTTGGGAGTTGAATTATTCCGGAATGGATACCAAACAGTATGGTTGCGGTCAAGGAGAAGATGCAGAACATGATCACGTTGGTGTTGTTGGTGGACTCTTGTTTCTGTTGTTCTCGTTCTTTCATTCGTTTTTCCATCTTCTGAAATGATTTTACTTTTATTAAAATGTGATTCCAATTTGATTTGAACTTGTCTTGGTGTGTTATGATCAAAACTATATTAAAATAGGCATCTGTTGGTAATATCAGACGAATATTGAACAGTACGCCTTTTAGATGCCAAAAATTAAATCCGTATTGTTATCACTTACTCTGGTATCTTTCTAATCATTTTCAATATTTCTCTTCTCTAGTTTACCTGTTTTTCCACCTGTTTTTTGGCCTTGTCCACTTCCTGCATCAATTTCTTGAATTCCTTTACATCGCTGATGTCTTCATCAGTTACTGGGCTGTAAATCGACCCGATTGTTTCGAGAAAAACGGCCAGATTAGGGAGAGCTTTGAGCTGAAGTTTAAGTCGATCGTTGGCCATTGGGAGTCTGTACAATGGGGCCAGGTAACCGTATATTAAGGCATCCAAACTTGATGGTTTCATTCCGTTAAAGTACTTTGAAGCGCCCAGCTTTGATGCCAATAGGTTTAGGGTCTAAAAGAGAGGTGTTGAGGTTGACTTTGAGATTACCTATAAATTGACAGCAAGAACTTTAGATTAATCACACGTTTTTTAAAATTACCATGGATAACATCAGCTTTACTCAACATTACCTTGATAGCATCCAACTCCAAGTCCTCAGGCATCTTCCCCGTCCTATCCACAATCTTTCTGGCTTCAGATCTCTTTTTACTCAAGTAAAAGAAGTAATGTGGCCAAGCTGTTGTTTTAGACACCATTCTGGAAGCCATGGCCGCGTAGTTGAACTCATCCAGCCAAAATAACTGTTCCAAAGCCGGCACCAACCTCGTCTTCAATAACGCATCAAATCCTTCCACTAATATCTTGTCCTTATCACTTAAATCGGAATCCAATTGAATTTCGGAATGTTGTCGTCTCAAATGATCAACAAATTCGAGGAAGTCAGTGATCTGAACATTTTCACCCACATACGACGGAATTATACCGGTCGGTGAGTCGGACTTTCGTCGACAATGCACTACTGTAACTTTATATAAACAAAATTGAGCAGCGGCGAGGAATTGAAGCGATTGGGAATCGACCGAAGCTAGCCCGTAGAATGATGGGGACACGTATAGGGACATCTGAATGTTTTGTATTATAACTCTGGTCAAAAAGTAACTAGAAAACTAATATTTTTTGAAAATGTAGCTTGTTCATTTTGGCAGCTAGGACAAAAAATAAAATTTCAAAATTCATTGAAGTTTAAAAGTTACAGTAATCCTACAGTACCCCACTTTTTCAAACCTCAATCGTAATTTCCAGCTTCAACTAGCTTTTGTGACATATATGATAATACTTCTACTAATATCACGTCATCTTCGTAAAAATACACCCAAATACCTTTGATGCATTCAACTGAATTCAGATTCACCTACATTAACATCAATTATAGTCTAAAACAATATCAATGGCCCGTCTTATTTATTCAACATGAAATTTTGAGATTTTGTAGTGAAATGTGAGAAATAAATTACAATCATAGATTTTTAACGTTATGGAGATGAGTAAATTAATGTAAAAGGTATCTAGCAAGATCAAAATGAGTAGGTATTCATGAAAATCGTCATAATATCAATCTACATGAATAATATCATGAATACTCTCCATCTTAATGCTATAAAAGCCTTAAACAATACTGTTTACAAAAATTAATATCTTATTCGTTAGTCTTGTCGGCAAACGCTTCTTTTGGTTCTTCGGTCATTTCTGAGTCGACTGCTACTTTCTCGGTTACTGGGTCTTCTGGAACTGTTTCTTGTTGCTCTGAGCCCAAAACTGTGGTAGAATCTGGCTCTGCGGTAAAAACAGCAACGTCTTCCATACCTTCCTCTTCTGGTTCTTCCACTTCTTCGTCTCCTTCGGATTCTGAAAGTTTTAACTTTTGAAAAAAGATTAATGATGTTACCCACCAAAAAAGCTTTGAATTTACACATTCCAAAGTGAGTGTATTACTTTTTACGTTAAATAATAAACAAACAATACCTCGTGAAGCTTTTAAAAACAACATTAAACTTACTTGGAAGCAATTCATCTTGTTCTCTCCACTTGATTGGAATGTTGGTGACACGAAGATCCTCAAGGTGAATACTGCGTTCCAACTTTTCTAAAACCGGCTTGACTGGAGGCTCTTTCAACAATTCTTCATCTGTGTAGTAGTGAGAGACAAAGAAGGCAACTTTCGAGAACAACTGATCATGATATTTGACTCGGAGAAACAGAACAGCGACATCCGTGAGGTCCTCATCTGGAACTTTAGTGTAGTCTGGTGGATTGGCCTATAATTTGATTATTAGAGAGCTATAACGTCAAGGAAAGTGAATGTAGCTTTTTGGGAAGCTATTTAATTCACCACCTGTCCTATAAGCAAAAGCGGTCGACGGCCGATACCTTTTAAAAAAATTTCAATTGCTGACGCACTTTTAGCTCTAAACTTCAAATATCAATAAAAAATATAATTTACCTCAAACACAAATTGATGTTTGCCACCTTTAATTGGTCCAACGTCAACAGACTCCAAAACTTGATCATGTTTAACATCTCCATCCCAAGCAAACATCATTTCCCATTCAACGGCTAAAAAAATATTAATAAGCAATAAATATCATAGAAAACTATAATTTACAACCAAAATAAACCCTTTTTCTTATAAAACACTGTTTTAACTTACGATCCGGCAAATCTTCATAGGCTTCAAAGGTAATTTGCAGTTTTACAGGCGCCGTCAACGAGCATGGCGTATCCAAAGGTACAACCGAGAGAAGCTGAATCCACGCAGACATTTTTGAAACAATAGAAGCGAAGAACGGTAAACCGGGAACGCTGCGAGACGATCTGAAAGAAATTTCAGCAAAATTTTGGCGCCTTCAGGGATATTTAACGGGTCCCGGAGAGAAATATTGGGTTGCTATAGAGAAAAATGGCGGAATGCCAAAGAAATTAATTTTTTCGACAAATACTTTTCAAAAATATTAGAGAACAAGGTAAAGATGGCTTTCTTTTGTGTTTTTACATAACTAAACGCTAAATTGTTGTTTTTTTATTACTTTTTTATATTAACATTGATTTTTTATATTTTATTTCGGTGTTGCTTTGCCTTTATTCAATGTAACTGTTTTTTTTTCAATGCTAAACAAATCTTTATTTTCCAGATCTCTGGGCTATGTTAACAGCTCTTTCATGGCTATAGATTATGTCTGCTGGCAGCATTTCACTTGGTTTTGTTAAATTTTTTCTTTGTGTGGTTTTAATATTTACTTTTGTTAAAAAATGGTCGAAAAAACGATGCTCATCAGTGCGATATGACTTATATGTGGCGGCGAATGTTCTTCATGGATGTAGGTTTTAAACATGGTGATCGTTACAACCTGAGTTTGTATGGTGAAGGGTATTATGCGTTAGGGTACATGTAAGTTGAGTTTTTGTTATATTTGATATGTTTAGGAATGATCCGGGAAGTTTGGATGGTATACCTATCATATTTGTGCCTGGAAATGCTGGTAGTGAAAAACAAGCACGGTCTTTGGGTTCAGTGCTACAAAACAAGACAGAATTAAGAGGGACTCACTTTAAATTTAATGTTTTTACTATTGATTTCAAGGAGGTTTGTTTAGGTTAACATATTTTGTGTCTACAGTGTGCATACGTGGTTCTAAAACTCTCAAGTTATTTTTAAGAGCAAGTTTGATATATTTATTACCTTTTAGGAGTTTTCCGCGTTTAGTCCATCGATTATTCACCGTCAAATCGATTATCTTGTTCATGCTATCAGACATGTTCATGGGTTATATAGAGATGGTCGGAAAATCATTTTGTATGGACATTCCATTGGTGGAATTGTTGCTCAAGGAGCGTTGACACACAAAGATATTCAAGATAAGGTGTCATTAGTTATTGGTCTTTCTACACCGTTCAGCGAGCCACGTGAGTGATATTATCCATCTTTTTTGACTAGTCTTCTTTTTTCTTTAAGTTTTGTTGTGAAATGGTTTTTTTATATTACACACATAAGTTTTGAGATTTATATTGCCATTTATATTGTTTAGCGATCTCATTGGGTCTTGGAATGAAAAAAATTTGGGATGATTTATATCACAAATCTGATATTCCAACAATTTCAATTGATGCTGGTCTATTGGATCTTCAAATAGCCCCAGAATGGACGAATGCACCTTTCGTACATCATGTTTCAACTAATGAACTTGACGGGGTTAATTTAGAATGTGACCATCAATGCATTGTGTGGTGTAATCAGCTGGTTAGGTAGGTTCTTTTTATATTTTACTTTGAATGTTTAGGTTTTATGGATGATGTTATTATGCGAGTATGAAGTAAAAATGATTTTGCAGACAAAACAGCAGGTTTCTGTTTGATTATGCGGCTTCAATGGACTTCAAAAATGATTTCAAAGCTATTTTTTACAAAAACTTTGGCCCAAAGTCAAGTGATGTCTTATATCATGCTGAAGATGAACTAAGCTTGGACAGTACAATAAAGTCAACGATCCTATACAACAAAACTATTAAAAGAGCAACAAAACTGCCGTTTTCTTTTTACCACCACTTATTTGTGTACGATATTAACATAGAAGCTAAAAATGAACTGAAGGAAGTTGAATTTCAAACCAAATATGGATTTCAGAAAGCTGTCAAGAATGGCAATGTATTTGAACTTAGAGCTGGGTTCTTTAACTCACCAAAAGTTGATGAACTACCAAGATTATTGATTGATGTGGAAAAGGAGAAAAGTGAGGTCATAATAACATACAAAGTGGATGTCAAATACAGCTTGTTGAAGGTAAATTTTTAATTTTAGGTTAGATTTGAATTAGAACTACATAAGAACGATATAATTTAGATTAAAGCAACGTGCTATAATATATTTTTGAAAATTTCAGTTTTGCCAAAAGCTACGAGGCTACCTTATGGCAGCGATCTTTGTTTGGGCTTTATCATCGCCGTTTTGGAATTCTGGAAAGTTTTGGGTGATCAACAGTATTTTTGTTGGCTCTTTGATGGCTGTGTAAGGAATTTAGGCATATTTGGCGTTTTGTAAAATTTGTCATTACTATGGCATGATGACACATTTTTTCTTAGTCTGTATGACATGTTAAATTGTTAATTATTGCTTTAAATGTTATGAAGAAACATTTTTTGTCTAAATTTACCTTTTTACAGTCTTAAAGGTTTGAACCAGATGGACGAGATCGAGTTCTCAGCACTAGTGATGTTATCATTGATTGGCGCTAACATAATGTCTATATTGGCTTCCCCACTAAAACTGGTTTTCAAATACCTATCAAGATACGACACATTAACTACGCCGGGCTATGTCGACATTACATTTACCTTGATAAACCCAATCATTGGAGTTACGGTAATTTTACTGCGCTACGTGATACGAGCTTCGAAAACTTGTGAAAAGGTCATGGAGATGATGTTATACACAACGATTGGAATTCTACTGTGTAATATGGATAAGTTTTTCACATTTAAACTATTTGCTATCGTGAAATTGGAGTTACAGTGCGAGTTTACATTTCTTTTGTTGTTATTCTTGGCAGTTTTATTGGCATCGAGATGGTTTACAAGGATTGAGATTGTTAATAAGTACTTAATCTGTTTTTTAGTTGGTATGCTAGTATTTGCTGGTCAGACCTACATTAGGACACCAAATTTGCATAGTTTGAGTGTATGTTTTGTTGGTTTATTTGGGATTTTGTTAAAGGTTTTGAAGGAGATAGAGCTTGATTCAAATTGGGGTTTATAGAAAGAAGAAAGTGGAAGATAGGGAAAAATTAGCCTTTAGAGGTTCGTATGGTGTAGTAGGCGCATTTCACTTTATAAAGGTTTTTAAAAATGCGTTTGAGTTTATAAAAATTGGTAAAGGTGTAGCTTTGAAGGAAAAACTGCTGAATTTAGGCAGAAAAGTCGGGTTTTAGTGGGATAAAAGTGATGTTTTAGTGTTTAGATGTTGATATAGTCTAGCAATGGCATTTTCACTTAATAAGTATCAAATAAGTTTGTTTTTAGTTTTTGAAAGTTTGAAAAAATTAGGTTTTTATGCGTTTTTAGGTCAAAAAAGGGTTTTTTTGTGAAAGAATTTAAAATTTTGAGTATTACGAACGTTTTTTTTATAAAAAGTGCATTTTTAAATTTGCTTTTGTTAGAAAATAAGTTTTTGTAGTATAGTAAAAATAGTATTGTATTGGAGACATATGTAGAAAGTGTCATAATCTCTTAAAAATCCGGTCTGTGATAACAAAAAGTCGAATGATAGTCAACGTTTTTAAGGTAAAAAATGGTTTTGAGCTAGAGTTTTGGGGTAATTAGACCTGAAAGGGGGCCTACTAGGTTCGGGTTAGGCCATAACAAATTTGTAAAGGGATGGGCTGGATTGTACGGGCCTAAGGGTCAGTTTTGAATGAAGATTTCAGGGTCGGTTTTTAAATAAGGACTCTAGGGCTGGCTTTAAATGAAGTCTCCAGGGCTAAGGGGCTTGGCTGGGCCAAAGAAAATTAGAAAGGAGCCGGACGGACAGGAAAATTGAGCCCGAATTTCTTACAGGTCTAGTAGAAAAACGTTTTGTTAGTTTAAAATAATTATATTTCAAGAAAGTATTCAGTCATAAGTTAAGGTTTTAGGCTTTTTTGTTTAAATATGTTATTGTGACACATTTTTTCTTATTTTATTTTTTTAAAGATTTACTCTAGGCACTTATATTGTTTTAAACCCTTTGATTGTTATTTATATTTTGATAATAAATGAATTATAATGATATTTATTTCTTTTGTTGGCTTGTTTACTACTTATACGGTTAATATTCCGTTATTATTTCTATTATTCCTTATTTTTTTTTAGTTTTTAAATTTTTTTTGAATTTTTGCTATATTATTCGTGCGTGCAGATCATTTGACAAGGAGTGTATTCGACGTATTTTACCTTGCTGTTAACGTTTACTTTTTAGGTTAACAACTAAATCTCGTTTTTGGACCGGGTACTACTCAAGTTATCATAGATTTACAGTGCAAAAATGGTGGTAAGTGGGCTTGTTTTTGGAATTTTTAAGTGTCTTACTGTTTTCTTGATCTTATGTTTTAAAAAATTGAGATTTGTTGGTCATAAAGTCCCTAGAATTTCATTTACTTTAAAATTTTGCTAACATTTGGCCGATTTTACCTTATAACCTATGTTTAGTTGCCACTGTCCCTCCTGAAAACGGCCCAAAACCAGCCAATGTTGATTGAACTGAAGAATGGTGAAACCTACAACGGAATCTTGATCGCTTGTGATTCCTGGATGAATGTCCATCTGAAGGATGCGATTTGCACATCAAAGGACGGTGATCGATTCTTGAAGATTCCGGAAGTCTACGTTCGTGGAGCTACAATCAAATACTTGAGAATACCTGAGACGGTAAGGGTTTGGAGGTTAAATTTTAAACTTAAAAATAAAAAAAATTTTTTTGAAATTTTAAAATTTTGCAAAAATTTTAAATGTTTTTTGAAATTTTTATTGTTTTTACTTTTATCATGAGTCGTACTACCGCTACCTATATCCCTACCCTTATTTCTACTCTTACCTTTACTCCTACCCCGCAATACGCCTACTTTTACGCCTACTCCTACCCTCTACCTCATATTCCCTACCCTCTAGCTCCTACCTCCTTTTGCTTTGTCCTACTATAATGTCATGCTATTATATATTCGTGACTTACCTCTAGGTCACACATTGAATTTTTGAAATTTTAGACGAAAAGTTTTTAAAATCAATTAAAATATTGTTGTAGGTAGTAGATCTAGTAAAAGACGAAGTAAAGGAAGTGCGTCGTCAACAGAACCAAAACCGAATCGCCAAAAAGAACTTTAACAACAAGTACGGTAACAATCGGCCAGGCGGCGGTCCAAACAATCAACAACGACCAGGAGGACCTAACCAGCAACGCAATCAACGACCACCTCAGAAGCGGAAGTAGAATGCCATCTTGGGACGTGTAATAGCTGGTGTATCATTAGTATAGCGTTTGGTACTATATGTACTAATTAGTACTAAATACTCGTACTACATAGTACGTTATATGTTTTTATCGGTACTATAGGTCTGTACTATTTACTAATCAGTACTACTTACTCGTACTATATAGTACTTTAAACTTATGCCAAACGGTATACCTGGTCCATGTCAAGTGTTATATGTTCTCTTCTATAATTATGATTCATTTTCGATCCAACTTTAATATTATATTATTTGTTGTTCACATGTTACTGATATCGTCGTTTGTAATCTTTATATACCTGAATTAACGTAAACAATAAATTTACAGTATTGATAAAAAAAGGTGTGTTTGTTATGGTTTTCATAAAATTAGAGGTTGATTACCTTGGTATATATTAAATTTTTAAAGTTGTTTATTATATGACCATTATATGACCGTTCTGACTTGGCGTGTTATATTTAGGGCTGGGTGGGGTATATTGTTGTATGTAGGGCATGAGAGTTTTTGGTTGTTGGGCTTATAGCTATTAGACTTATGACTATTAGGCTTATGCTTTCTCCGGTTGTAGATTTAGAAGGCGTATGTTGAAAAGGCTTAGGTTTAAGTAGGCTTATTAGATGTAAGCTCGGGCTTGGTAGGCTTATTAAGCTTGGGTTTAGGAGGCTTAGGGTTAGTAGACTCAGGCTTAGTAGGCTTAGGCTTAGTAGGTTTAAGCTTACTAGGCTTTGGCTTTGTAGGCTTAGGTTTAATAGGCTTAGTAGGCTTAGGCCTAGAAGACAAAAGCGTTTCAAGCTGCAAAATTTTTTCATATCTTTGTGGAAATTTACAGATAAAAAGTGAACCCCTCGCGGAAAAACAGAATAAAATCCCAGCACTCGCAGTCATTTGTTGGGTCGTTTTACATCGAGGCAAATATTACAAAAATTAATAATATTACATAAGAAAATGTTGCGCAACACGATTTCTTGCAATTTCTCTAAGGCTATCTTATTGTACCATGCATATTAGGTAAAGCCGAGAAAAATGTGCTGTTATGTAACACTTGGGTTAAAATAGGCATGAGGATAGGCGTTGGAGTAGTTGTAAGGGTAGATTTGGGATAAGGTAGGGGTAACTGCATCGTTTGGTAGGTGTAGTGATATGGGTAAGAGTACTGTAGACTATTGGAGGAGGTGGTTCAAAGATTTTTAAAAATTCGGAATTTGTAAAAACTTTGCGCTTGGCGGTCCAAATTTTATGACTTATTTTATTTCCAGTCGTTAATTAGCTTTTGCTTTCGACCATAAATTAACATTGTTGATGCTTTTTGTAGTTTCACTTCAGTCTGAAGGGCTTGCTTACTAATATTGGGCATGCAATGTGAAAGAAAAAAAAATATTAATTAGGTAATAGTTCAAGAAAAAAACCATAAATCTACACAACTAGACAAGTGTATAGGGGCCGGACCGAGCATAGTGGACCCTTTTTTAGGTCTGGAATGAATAAAAAGTAAGCCTGCTGTATGTTGTGGATATACTTGAAAGGGGGTTCGTTAGGCTTGCACTCTTGGACTAGCTCGGCTGTGGGCCAAGTAAAACTTGAAAAGGGCCAAACCTGAGCGACATATTAGACCCAGCCCAGCCTCTGAACAAGTCTAGTTGTGCAGGTTTATGGCAAAAATCCAAAAAATAATTACTAAAAATTCAAAAAAATTGAAGGGTTCGTGCGGTTTTGCATGAGTTATGGGTACAAAATGGCACATTTATGAATGTGTTGAAGAATAAAAAAAAGAAAGGCTTGAAAAATGTTATTGTTTCTTTTGATAAGTTACGACCAGCTATATTTGGGCTGTTTTAGACGTCTTTTGAGGTTTTATAGGGCTTTGGAGGTGGATTTTCGATGAAAAATTTAGATTTTGGAATTTTAAGGAAATGGAAGGGCTGTTTTGGATCAAAAAACGGTTTAAAGTATGTCCTAAAAAATATAAAAAATCTACCTTAGCTACACCTGAAAGGGGGGGGGGGGCACTAGGCCTGGTCTTGGCCCGACCTAGCCCGGTGCCCCGAAAATTTTAAAGAAGCCGAGCGGGCACAGGTGGCCTTGAGGATTGGGGCCCAAATTAATCTTCGATTTCTGGTTCTTTCAATACGATTTCTGGTCTTTCAATAACATTCAAATTGGCCCAACGGAACGTTGGCCAAAAACGAGTTTTATTCCACATTTTGAACGCAGTTTTACATTTGAGGAGGGGTTTTTTTTGGTTAGGGTGGGAGGGTTAGGGGTGGCTCGTAGGCTGGATTGAAACATTTCGCCTGGCTTCTTTACAGGCCTTACTTTAGCCATAAATATACAATTTTGTTCTTGAAACGTTAATTTTTTTTGCTCTGCCCTCAGGCTAAAAATGTTTTTTGAATTTTACTCCTGCTCAGAAAATGATTAAAAATTTGTTTTTTGACAAAAAATTTTTGATCCGCCCCTAAAAATAATAAAAAAAATTTTTTACCCCGCCGAAAAAAATTTTTCACGGCAATAAAAAACGCCATTTCAAGCTTTTTCAAGCTGTTATATAACAAATTTCATGCCCACAAACCAATTTCCAACAAACTATTTTAAGCCCTATGCGTAATACATAGCATTATGTTATAGTTGACTTCTCCATTTCATTTCCAGCCCGCTCTTTCCCATCTTAACCCCGGAGGGGGTTTGTTTTTGGAAAAGGCATTTGTTCCGCCCGTTCGTTACTCTCATCCCGACTGCTTTTTTTATTTCAATTACCCGTGTCTTAACTCGAAATAAATAGATGTTTCTTTTTTTCGACAAATGGTCAGGGTTTAGATTAAAAATGGCAGTTTTTGGGACTGAAACTCAACTTTTTGGGGGTTTTTTGCTATAAATTGATGTTTTTGGTGCTTTTTCTTGATTTCAAGAGACGAAAGTAGTATGAAAAGAATCATAAGATATTTTTAAAGCTAATGAACCTGTTTACTCAAATTGTCATTTCAAAAAAGTTAGAAATTGGGTTAAAAATGGCAGTTTTTGGGGCTGAAACTCAACTTTTTGGGGGTTTTTAGCTATAAATTTGATCTTTTTGGTACTTTTTTTATTATTTCAACGATCGAAAGTAGTATGAAAAGGATCGTAACACATTTTAAAAGCTAATACGTACCTATTTACTTAAGTTTTATGTTTGAAAAAACAAGAAATTTGGGCTTAAAAGGGCAATTTTTAGGGCTGAAACTCAACTTTTTGGAAGTTTTTAGCTATAAATTATTGTTTTTGGGGCTTTCTTTATTATTTCAAGGACCGAAAATAGTACGAAAAGGATTATAAGGTATTGTAAAAGCTAATACATACCTTGATATACCTGTTTACTCGACTTTATTTTATGAAAACACGAGAAAATTGGCTTAAAAGGGCAGTTCTTGTAGCCAAAACTTAACTTTTTTGAGGTTTTTAGTTATAAGATGATGTTTTTGTAACTCAAAATAGTAATTATCTATCCAAAATGAAAAATTATCATTATCTCGGCAGTCATAAACAAGTAAATGACTATTTATGATTTATAGCAATGTTGTCTTGTTGTTTTGCCTGTTTTTGAAAGCCCAACGATTTCTGGTCTTTCAATAACATTCAAATTGGCCCAACGGAACGTTGGCCAAAAACGAGTTTTATTCCACATTTTGAACGCAGTTTTACATTTGAGGAGGGTTTTTTTTTGGTTAGGGTGGGAGGGTTAGGGGTAATTTTTTGTTATAGTAGGGGGGGGTGGCTTTTTCCTTGGGTTTGATTCACACTAGCCACGCGTTAACTTTTGGCTTTAGCCTAACCTTGTTCTTGCGTCAGTCTTGCTTTAGATTTGCCCTAGCCTTGCCTTAGACTTGCCTTAGCATTCGCTTTGGCCTTAGCTTTGACTTGACCTAGCCGTGCCTAAATATTCTCTAGCTTAGCTCTGCTCTAGCCCTAGCTTTTTCTTAGCTTAGTGTCTACCTTTGTCTAGGTTCGCATTTCCCTGCCTTAATCTAAGGATTGCCTTGGCTTAGCTCTCCATAGCGCAGCCCTGTATGAGCCTTCGTTAGCCTAGCTCTACGTAGCGCTTTCCTGCCCTCAGGCGCGCACTTTATTACGTTTCATCAATTTTAATCAACCCCCCCCCCTCTATTACTCATTGAAATGTGTCGAGTTTAGCGCCGTAAATAAACAAGCACAACAACAGAGTGGAAGGGCCTCTTTTTCGGCGGTAAACAAGAACTATTTTCTCAATTTTTGAGATGGAAAAGCGAGCTCAATCGTTCTTTTTCCCCTTTTTTTATAAAAAGTTTTGAACGTCTGACTCATCCCTCAAAAATCCGCGGAAGAAACGTTCTCAAGTGGTCGATTATATTGTGTTATAGAAAATGAGACAAATATATAATATACGGCTTTTAAGGGTCGAAAACTTTGTTTTTGGCTGGGGTGAAGGGGTTGAAAGTTTGCATTTTGGCGAGGAGATGAAAGGGTTGAAAATGATTTAAAAAGTTTTTGGCTGGGGTAGCAATGTTGTAAATATATTTAGTTTTTGTGTGATGGTAAAAGCTTTAAAATATGGCACTGTGGCTGCGTTAAAATCGTTTAAAATTTGGATTTTGGTGTGGGGTAAAAGGGTGAGATTCGGCTTTTGAGCAGGGGTGAAAGGGTTACAAATAGGGTTGGAAGGAGGTGGAAGGGTAAAAAAAGGTTCAAGTCGGGGTAAAAGGGTTGAAAATTGGGTCTTTGGCTGTAGACATGAGAAAGAGGCCGGGCCTGAACGTTAGGCCCGGCTCGATCTAAATTTTGTTCAAGGCCGGTCCGGTCTGTTTCTCATGCCTATTTGGTTGGGGTAACCGGTCGAAAAAATTGATTTTTTTGGCGTGTGGATGAGAAGGTTAGAAATTTGATTTTTGGCGTAGTTGACAGGCTTAAAAAATGGTTTTTGTGCTAGAGTGGAAGGGTTGAAAGTTTGTTTTTTTTGGCGTGGGGTAAAAGAGTTAAAAATATGGGGTTTGGCTGGAATAAGAAGGTTAAAAATACAGTTTTTGGCTGCTTGTAAAACGGTTAAATATTAGTCGTTGGCGGAGTTAAAAAGGTTCAAAATATGATTTTGAGGCTGTGCTATATGCTATTTGAAATTTTTTAAAAATTCATAAAGATTTTTGTCTCTTTTTTTTTGGCAAGGAATTTTACAGGAGAGCAAGCTCAATTTTTTAAAATTTACGATGAAATAACACGGAGTTTAAAACTTGAAAAAAAGGTTTCAGTACGTAGGACCAATACCGTTTTTACACTTTTTTTTATTAATTATGAATTTTGAAAAAAATTTTATAGGAGGGATCAAGCTTACTCTTTTTATGTATTGTGTTTTTATTTTTGGTATCTTTTTTGGGAATCCGTATTTTACCTTCTTTTCCTTATCAGTTTTATTATTTTTTTTTATTTTTAGGCAGCTGCCCTCATTGTCCGTTTTGCCTAACGGCCGTTTTCAAGGTGCGCGGCCATTTAATCAACCGGTCGTGCGGCCGTTCAGCAATAATGGCGGTTCATTTGTCAGTCGGGAGGATCGTCTGCGATTTTCTGGTTCTTTTTGCTATTGGTAGGTTGGTTTTACCCTGTCCTATCTTACTATGTCTTAATTTACTCTACCCTACCCTACCCTACCCTACCCTACCTACCCTACACTACCCACCCTATCCTACCCTACCCTACCCTACCCTACCTTACCTTACCCTACCTTACCCTTTATTCTTACCTATCTCCTCTCTCGTTTTTTGTTCTTAAAGTTGCCATTTTTCAGCCATTCCTCTGTTGATCTTCCACGAATGGGTAACACCGTACAAACGAGGCTTCTACTGTGACGATGAATCCATTCGATACCCCTACCGAGCTTCTACCGTAACTCGACAAGCCCTTATTGTTATTGGCATTCTAATCCCAACTCTACTCATTTTATTCACCGAACTCTTCCGAACATTGGCATGGGAGAGGAAACAAACACATCTGTACAGAACGTACGAATACAAGGACAGGAATGTACACAGGTTCATTGTTAGGTTGTACACTTTTATTGGTAAGCGCAATTTTTTTGGAAGAGGGGAGATTTTGTATAGGTTAGTGGGAGGGGGTATCCCTTTTTTGGGCTTGTGGGGGGGGTACCTTTTTTAGGCTTGTGGGAGAGGAATTTTTTTTATATGTCAGGAGAGGGTAAAAGGCATATTTTTGTTTGTGGTTGGTTTTTTAAACGTATTGGATGATTTTACGGCTTTTTCCTGATTTTCAGGCTTTTCGTGGTGGGACCCAAATTGTAGTCTTTCTAAAATCTGTTGTTTTAAAATTTGCTGTTACATAGGTATATTGACTGTCAGGAATTGTGTTTTAGGTATATTATCATGAGTTTTGCATATTTTCTTGATTTTCAGGGTTTTCGTGGTGAGACCCAAATAAGATTTTTTTTTGGAAATTTAATTTATTATGATGTTAAAAATAGAGCCTAAAAGGTTAATTTTTCTATTTTTTTAGTTTTTTTTTATTTTCAGGCGTTTTCTCTGATTTTCAGGGTTTTGGTGGTGGGACCTTTTTTAAAATTTATTTTTTGACTATTTTTATTTTCTATAGTATTAAAAACGAATTTAAAAATTTTTTTTATTAAAAATTGTAAAATACGACATGGTGAAGTATTGAATTTTAGGCTACTTCTTCGTGGGAGTCTGTTTCAACCAGTTGATGGTGGATATTGCCAAGTACACTATCGGCAGACATCGACCACATTTCATGGATGTCTGTAAACCAAACATTGGCTATGACAACTGTAATACCGTCTTGAGACAATACATTACCGACTTCCAGTGCACAGGCTCGGACAAGTATCTTATCCATGAGAGTCAACTGTCCTTTTACAGTGGTCACGCTGCCTTCTCTTTCTATGCTGCTTGGTACACTAGTGTAAGTTGGTACTAAGGGGCGGATCTCGTGTAAAATACGTTGGTTGTAATACATTGGATTTGTACATGGAAAAATTTGTATTTTGCATTTTGAACGAGATCTTCAAGGTTTTCGTGGTGGGACACATAAGTAAGGAGAAGATATAAATTAGGGTATTATAATGTAGAATTGGCATCTAAGACTGTATGTTTGTTTAATTGTTCAAAGGAATCGATTTAGACTATAAAATTAAAAATTCAGGTTTTCGTGGTGGGACTCAGAAACCATGATAAAAAATATATTATTTTGGATAATACAAACATTATAAGGGTATTTAAGACTGTATTTTTGCCCAGTGTTTAAAAGAAGTGGAATTTAGGTCAAAAAATTGAAAATTCAAGTTTTCGTGGTGGGACCAAAGATTTTTCAAAAAATTTAAAAAAATCTGACAGAAATTGCTTTTTATAGGTTCATATAATCTAAAAATGCCAAAAATTTTAGTTCTATCTTCAAGCCCGACTCTACCGACCGCTGATTTCCCGTCTGGTCCTACCGGTCATTCAATTCTCACTGTTTGGCGGCGCTGCTTATGTCGCCTACACACGAGTCAGCGACTACAAACATCACTGGAGTGACGTGCTGGTGGGATTGTTGATGGGTTCGGCTATTGGAATTATTAATGTAAGTTTTTTTTCACAATTTTAAAAAATTTTAGAAAAAAAACTTTTTGGTGCTAATGGTACCGCTGGTACTGCGTTTCTGGTACTAATGGTACAGTTTTTCAATAATTTTTGCTCATTTTTAAAATTTTGGAAATTTTACTTTCGAAATTTTTTAGTACTAGTGGTACCAATTTAATGGTACTGTACGTCTGGTACTAATGGTACTATTTTTTAAATGATTCATGCTTATTTTTAAAATTTAAGAACTTTTTAAAGATTTTATTTAAAAAACTTTTTTGGTACAAGGTGTACCACTTCAATGGTACCATTTAAACTATAATTTGGACTTTCAGGCTCTCTGCATCGCCAACGTTTTCCAACGCCGCGAAATCCCTCAAGGCGTGAAAACCGACCGCCACTTACAAATGGACTCACCTCAACATAATGGCGATGCTGAGAAGGGTGTTACAGTACACATCCACGACCAAACCCCGCAAGTGGGTCCACACACGGTGGTTCACAAAGAAATTCAAATCCCACAACAAGTACGGTACAGCACGTTAGTACGAGGTGATAATTAAGCATTGAGATCATGCTACAATTGGTACTGGAGGAGTTAGATGGCTGGTACTAAAGGCTTCCGACGGTTTGTACTGGAGGACTAAGAGTGGTACTACTTTCAAGGATTTTCTGGTATGGTACTGTTTTTTGAATGAATGTGGTACGGCTGGTACTAGTTTTATGGATTTTTGATATGGTACTATTTTTTGGTCGAAGGTGGTAATGCTGGTACTGGTGGTACTGTTTTAAAAATCCTTTCGGTATGGTACATTTTTTGAATTAATATGGTACTACTGTTACTAGTTTAACGGATTTTGCTATGGCACCATTTATTGGTTGGAATTGGTACTGGTGGTACTGATTTGAAGCTCTTTTGGTATGGTACAGCTGTTGGTGTGAAAATGGTATAGATGGTGCTATTTTAAAATTCTTTAGTGTCAGTACGCAAATGGTATTAAAATCTACTTAAATTTTTTGAAATTTTATTTTTTTTGTTTAGGCTTAAAATTGTACAGTTTGATTAAAATAAGCCTCATTCCAAGTCACAACAAGCCTATATGTAGCAAAAAACTTTGTATATTATGTTCAGATTTGTCTTTGTTGAAGGTTATTGGTATTGAAAGGTTAAATTTTTGTTTAAAAATGACGTTTTTCATTGCAAAAATGACGTTTTTTATACAAAAATGACGTTTTTTATATAAAAATGACGTTTTTTTATATAAAAATGTCGTTTTTTCAACTTTTAAAGATTGGCTAACCTTAAATGTCGTCTAATTAAAAGAAAAGTTATTTTTAGTCTAGCAAAGTAATGTTTGTCTCCGAAAATTGCATAATTCTATAAACTTTTCTGACAATTTTTAATCGACAGAAAGTTTGTTGTCTATGTTAATATCCGAAAAATATGATGTTCCGTCCGCTTGTTTTCTCATCGAATTCTAATTTTTTAATAGTTTTGAAAGGTATAAATTGTTAAGTATTAATTGCAAAGGTATATACTATTCAGGCCCTGAATTTCAGGGAAGTCGCTAGAAAAGAGGGGGGGGGGCTTACCCCTCCCCCTCTGTTTCTATCCCGGAAAAGCTAAAATAATAGTGACGTTCCTGATACTATCAATTGTAAATTGTAAGTATGGATTGTTAATAAATTTTGACAAAAAAAAATTTTTTTTAAATAAAAAAAATTTAAAGTTTGATGCAAAAACTTGAAAAAAAAATTTTGAAAAGGCACAACAATTGGCTAAAAGCAGGGTAGTGCAGGGTAGGATAGAGTATAGTAGTAAACGGTAGAATAAGGCAAAGCGCGGTATGGTGTGTTGGCAAATGGCTTGAAAATTGGCTCAAAATAGGCTTGATTTAACAAAAAAAAATTTTTTTTTTTAAATTTTTAAAAAATTGCTAAAAATTGTATAGAAATACATGCAATTTTGAAAAAAAAAAATTATTTTTACGGATTTACACCGTGTAACAGAACTTTTAGTGTACCCTGTAAGAAATCAAAAATATTGAATATGCGATTAATAATTGGTCCAAAATGTAAAAAATATTGATTTACCAAGAGCCTGTAAAGCCTATTGGAAAATCGATATTGGTTTGGGGGTAGCCGTCTAGCCCAAATTTGTCGTCCCGATCCCTTTTAAAGTTACTTCGGGGCCAAGCCGAGTTACTCCGGGGCCAAGACAAAGTCAGGCAAGGCCTAACGGGTTCTTTTTTAGGTATGTTTCCAAATAATAATCAAGCCAAAACCTCTAAAATAAAGTTATTTTTATTCAAAATCTAACCAAAAAATCCAAAAATAAAGTTAATGGCTAAATACCAAATAGAAAAACTGAGTAATTGAGAATTGGCCGAGTTCAAAGGCCGCGAAACGTACACAGTGTTCTCGGGAAAAGTGTTGTAGCCATTTGATAGCGATAACAAAGCCCGACAATGATGAGGCAAGGGTTCGTTTAGCGCCAACTGACTGTAGAGCTGCTCAAAACTAAAAATTTAGTGTAAAATACGGGACGTAGCCGTTGATTTGTCGTTACAGTGGAAATTTTGTATGGACATGGGTATAGATTAAAGGCTGGGATTGAATAGGGCTGGGTAGGGTAGAGCAGGGAGAGAGGTAGGACGGGGAAGGGTAGAATATGATAGGATAAGATATTGAAGGGTATGTTAGGGTAGAGTACAGTTAGGTAGGGTAAGGTACGAAAGGGTATGGTGAAACAAGGTTAAAATAAAGCTCGGGCTAGGATAGGGCTGGTTAGAATGCGATAAGAGTAGAGTGAAGCAAGGCTAGAGTAAAGGTGGGGTAAAGATAGCGCAAGCTTGGGGTAAGGTTAGGACTAGTACAGAGCTCGGTCGACTACAGAAAATCTACAATAAGGTCATGGCTGGGCTAAGATAATTGGGTAGGGCATGAGATAGTAGAGCACCCGAAAGGTTTGATATAATAAGTGTAGGCTAGGCTTGAGAGTGTCAATTTAAAATATGGCTTAGACTTGTAAAGAGGTCGGCCTGAGCAGAGGCTAAGCTGGGCCTAGACCGCCTTTCAGGTATAGGTCTAGTAGGGTTTAATTGAGAAGAAAAGGTTATCTGATGGAACATTGTAGGGTGGGGCTTTTCTTTAAGGATAGGGTAGGATGGGGTAGAGTAGGGTATTATATGGTAGGGGAGAGAAAGGTAGGGTAGGGTAAGTAGATTGGGGGTAGGGTAGGGTAAGGCAGGGTAAAATGAAAAACCCACCTTGAAAACTCGAGAGTAATGAACCTGAGCATGAGGTTGGTGGATCGATCTCCGCAGCCTGATCTTACTATGGGTTCCATGCAGTTTATCATGGCCGTTAGGTCTCTTAAAATTTTTAAAATTAAATGTTGTAAATCTTTTTCATATACAAAGTAAAATTTGTTTCATGGTTTGACATTTGCTCCTTGGAACATCGTATTTTACCTTCCTTTCACTTACTTGCACAAAAACCGAAATTTTAGTCGAATACTGTAGAACTCGCGATTTGCAATGGCCGAAGTGAAGTTGGCGGTGGTTATGTGAGATTGTTGGATTTGAGCATTACATTTGGACATGGCTAGAGGTTCGTATTGGGTTAGGCAGGGTAGGGCTGCGAAGAAGTCTGAAAACTCTTGTGTTGGCTTGAAATTTAAGAAAAAAAATTAAAATTTTTAAAAATTTTGAAGTTTTGTGAAAAGGTCCGGGTAAAATTTTTTTTTGAGGAAAGGTCCGGACAAAACTTTTTTTTGAATTTTTTAAAAAAGTCCGCGCAAAAAGTTTTTCTACTTTTTAAAAATTTTTGTGAAAAGTTCCGAGCAAAAAAAATTTTAATTTTTGTGTAAAGGTCCGGGTAAGCTTTTCTGAGTTTTTGTGAAAAAGTCGTAGCAGAGATCTTGATTTTGTTAAAAAAATGTTTTTCTGCGTGCTGTGAAAAAAGTTGATACCTTTTCGATTGTCCTTGCATATCAATTTGAGCCCGGAATAGGTCTGTTTTGCCATCATTAGTTGCTGCGAGTTTCCACCGCATTTTTCCAAACAGTGCTCGACTGATTCGTAGGACCTAAAGGCATTTATAGTTGTTTATGACCTAAGGGCATTTATATCTAATTTCTGTAACTAAGTTTGAGCTAGCTTAAGTCCTGTCTTTAGTCTAACTGTACCTTAAGAAGTAACTTTACATTTCGTCCACTTAGTATTGATTTTTTGGTTTGACTTTACTTTACGCTACCCTACTTTGACTTTCCCTACCCTCACCTATTGTATACAACCTTGACCCTGCAATACCCCATCTTACCTTACTCTACTTTGCCCTGTTTTACTCTATCCTGCACTATTCTAAACTAATTACCTTATTCAATCCTACCCTACCGTACTTACAAACAGACTTGAGTGAAGAATTTATTCATGGTAGTGACACCTGAACTTTCACTCATGTTATCCGCTTTTCCTCCGCCGTGAATTAGCGAACGCTGATGTAGAGCCCATGACGTGTTTCTTGTCGCTGGGATCGTTTCTAGCATCTGAAAAGGGTGTGTAGGGTATGGTATGATCTGGTATGGTATAATATAGAAGGTAGGGCAGGGTAAAGTAGGGTAGGGCAGAATAGGGGTAGTGTAGAATAACCTACCATTTGCATTTGAGACACGCAATGATCCGTACAGTCATCAGGGAATGAGCTACATTGAGTTACCAGTAGTGACACTGTAAAAATTATATAAAAACTTGCATTCCAGTTTTTAGGTAACAAAATTTTTTTTTGAAAAATGATTTTTAAACTTACTATATACAAAATACTGCCATTTTGAGCCAAAAAACGATAGGATTTTGGAAAATTCTTTCATTGTATCATATTGTAGTAGGTACTAAAAGGGGAAAAAGTAGTCCAGAAGGCTTCAAAACTGTTAAAACGGCTGGAAATGACTAAATATGGCCAAATATAAGTATGAATTGGCCACAGTGATAACGAATTGTCAAAAGCTTAATCGAAAAATAGTTAAAAAGCTAGTTGAAAATAGTCAAAATGGCGTTGAAATGGGCCAAAAATAGCAAAAAAGGCTAAAAATCAATAAAGACGATCAAATTTAGTCAAATATTAACCTTAACTTAGTAGTTTAGATGAAAAATAGTAAAAGAATGTCGAAAAGTTGTCAAAGATTTAGCTAGTCAAGAAGTAGGCCAAGTTTTTTGTTTGTAAATATGCAAATGGAGCGCCCACTTCGACGAAAGTATAAACCGAAAATGTGGCGAAACAACCAATTAGCGGGTCTGCATTTGTCATGAGTAATTTACCCAGTGTCAATCGGAATAAACGCCTTTTTTTGGGCCGAAGTTCGGGCTTTCAAAACCGGACTAAAATAGGTAAAAAAATTTTTGAGTAAAAGTTTTAGTAGAGAGAACTCGAATTTCAAAAAAAATTTAATAGAAACACCCGAAACAGAAAAATTAATATTATGTGGACGAAATGTAAATTTTTTTGTAAGGCAGAGTAGGGTAGGATATGATAAAGTAGGTTAGGGTAGGGTAAATTAAATAGTATAGGGTAAAAAAGGGTAAGGAAAAGCTGAATAGCCTAGGGTAAGGATGAGATACCCGAAACTGAAAAATCAATGCTATACGGATGAAATTTAAATTTTTTGTTGGGTAGGACAGGGTAAGGTGTGATAAGGTAGGGTAAAGTAATTATTAGGTTGAACCAAAAGTAGCGAAACATCTTTCAGTCAATTTTCAACGAAAAAGTGTCCCGCTACTTTTGGTTTAACCTAATATCCTACGCTACTAAGGATAGGGAAAGCTAAGGTAAGACAAGTTAGGGTAAGGAAAGGTAAAATAAAGTAAGGCAGGGTAAAATACGGATTCCATATATTAGAAACAAATTTTGTTTTTGAATATTTTTGAAAGTGTTAAAAGTCACGTTATGAACAGTTGTCACAATAACAAATAAGGCAAAATAAACACAAAAATGAAAAAAATGTTTTTTAAGTTTTAGCAAAACACTTTATGTGAGTAGTGCTAACATACTTTATGCTAGTTGTACAAACATAAAGTACCTAAGGTAATTAATTATAATCATAATCATAAACTGTAAAAATTTTTAATAAAGTCAAAGTTAAGGTAAGCACGCAACCTCTTAAACTTAAAATTACACTCATTACTTTAGCTAGTACTAATAAAAACAAAAAATGCGCTATTTTTAATTTTGTTACACAAACTTTATATAAAAGTGCAAAAGAACTGCGGAAGACAGATGAGTCCAAATCCGCGGATAAAAACATGACAATAAAACAGCATTTACACTTTATAAGATTGAGTACATCCGATTAGATCTTTGCATTGTTTCGAGGGGGTGTATTTGGATAAAAATAAAAAACGTAGGTAGAAGGGGGAGGGTATAAATAAAAAGTGAGGGAGGGTATTCCTACCTCTTGATTTCACCCTAGCCTACTCCACTGTGACCTTCTTCGCACTCTCATGATTTGCCTTGGCCTATCCCTCCCTAGTGCTGCTTTGACCTGTCGTGCAATGCCTTACTTTTTGTTTAGCATGCCCTGCCCATTTCTTGCTCATGCCTTGCCCACGCCTTGCGCGCGATTTTCCCATGCCGTGTTCTGCCCTGCCCATGCCTCTGCCTTGCCCATGCCTTGCCCATGCCTTGCCCATGCCTTGCCCATGCCTGGCCCATGCCTTGCCCATGCCTTGCCCATGCCTTGCCCATGCCTTGCCCATGCCTTGCCCATGCCTTGTCCATGCCTTACACCTGCCTTGCCCTTGCTTTGCTCCTGCCTTGCCCTGCTCTGCCGTGCCTCTGCCTTTCCCTGCTTTGCCCCTGCCTTGCCTCTACCTGGACCCTGCCTTGCCCATTCTTTGCGTATGCTTTGCTTCTGCCCTGTCCTGCTGTGCCCAGCCTTGCTTTTCTTTACCCGACCTTACCCTAACCTATCTTACGTTATCCTATCCTGTCTTCCCTTTATTACTCACCATACCTTGCCTTACTCTGCCTTCCATTTAAAAATAACCGCTGCAGGTTGTTGCAACCATTACGCTGCCTAACGGAAGCGGCGTATAACATTACTTGAAAAAGGAAATGAAGCCCTGCCTTTAGCGCCTTTCGGCTTTAAACGAGCTTCAAGGGGATGAGTTGAAGGACAAAAGCCGAGAAAGTGCGAAGCCGGAAGCTGGAAAATTCAGCGGTCCAGCCGGGTACGTTGAGGTTAAGCCTAAAGTAGTGTGCTAAGCCTAAAATTGTGTTCTAAGCCTAATGATGGGTTTTGTTAAGCCTGAAAAATTCTTAGGAAGTCTAAAACGTGTGTTGGGCCTAAAATTTTGTGATAAGCCTAAAAAATGCGTCATAAGCCTAAAATTATGTGCTAAGCTAATAATGGATGCTTAGAAGCCTAAAACTAATTAATAATCTTAAAATTATGTGTGAAGCTTACAAAAGTGACTTAGGTTTAAAAGTAAGTAGTAAGCCTAAAATTATGTCCTAAAGAAATATGTCTTAAGCCTAAAATTGTGTATTAAGCCTAAAGCTAATTGATAAGCCAAAAATTATGGGTTATGTGCCTACCCCTACCTTCTTAAAAAGTAACTAATAAGCCTAAAAATAGATGCAAGTAATTCTGAAATTACGTATCAAGTCAGATGGTAGGGTAAGGCAGGTATGTAGTATAAAATTTAATATTTTGTCGAAAATTAGACTAAAGTTTGTATTTTAAGTGTTTTTTAATTAAGCTGCTTCGTTTTGGCACACACTTCCACATATTTTACAATGCAAATTAAGGTAGACTTTGGAGACGAAAGTGTTTTACTTTCTCATGCAACTCACGACGGAAAATGCTAGACAAAGTTTTTTTGAAAATGAAAGGAAAAGGAGATGAACAAGTTCAAAATCTTTAAAAATTTTTTTTTCAAAATATTGTTGAAGTGCCGACATAAAGAACTTGCCATTTTTTACAGGGAATTAGAGGAAAAGTATGGCGGGTTCTTTATGTCGGCACCTAGTATTTAGACCTGAAAATGGGCCGAGCCATAGGGATAGCTGCAGAATAGGGTAGGATAGCTTCTAGGGTTGATAAGTCCTAGGCTAAGGCAGAAGAAAGCTGTGTTATAAAGTAGGGTAGGTCCTCTAGATAGACTAATCTTTTGACTAATTGTAAGCAGTATATAAAATAGGGTAAGCCATGGTAATAGGTGGTTTTAACGTAAACTTGTTACTAACGTTTAGCGGGTCTGCTATGGTGGAACACTTTAGGGTGTTTTCCTCCGCAGGGAGAAGCAAAGAGTAGGGTTGAATTGGCTATGGTAAGGTACGGTGGGATAAGGTAAAATTATAGAGTAAAGTAGGCCAGCATAGAGTAGGGTAGGGTAGGGTAGAGTAGGGTAGGGTAGGGTAGGGTAGAGTAGGGTAGGGTAGGGTAGGGTAGGGTAGGGTAGGGTAGGGTAGGGTAGGGTAGGATATGATAGAGTACAGTAGGGTAAGGTAGGGTAGGGTAGGGTATGTTAGAGTAGGGTAAAGTAGGGTAGAGTAGGGTAGGGTAGGATAGAAAAAGTTGTGTAGCGATGTCCCTAATATCAAGCATAAAAAGTTCAAACAATGTGTAAAAACACTGTAAAAGACGCTTATTGTTAACTGTGTAAAGTCCAATTTGTGAACTTTAGCAGTTTCAAAAGAAAAAATATTTAAAACTTCAATCACAAACAAAAAATATGAAAAAGTGAAACAGTAAAAGGGCAGGGTAGAGAGCAGTTTGACACGCCAAATTATCATAAATCAGACAAGAAACTTAACCTATGACTAACAAACTAACACGAAAACACATATCAGTAGTGTTCATTCGAAAGAGGGATGGGGGAGGAGTGGAAACAATTATTTTACAGTTTTTAATCAGCATTTTTGGACTGTTAATGATGTTTTATCGTTGTTGTAATTGAATTATGCAAAAAGTTTGATATTATTTGTCATATCAATCCATACTTAGGTAGGAGGGTCATTTTCAGAGATCAGAAGGGTGGCCGGGTTCACGGGCTGATTTACTTTCTAATATGTTTTGGCTCGGCCCTTGCTTAGTGGGCCCTTTTTGCAAATTTATGACGATTTGAATGGGCGTGGTAAAATTCTACTTTTGTTATTTCTAGGAGTGGATTAAAATTTTTTTATTAAAAATTGGATTTTTTATCGTGCGAAGTAAAGTTTAAAAATCATTTTTAGCCTGAGGGCAAATTAGAAATGAAATTTTTTCAAAAATAAAATTTTACATTTATGGCTAGACCTGTAAAGGGGACATGAGCAGACCTTGTTTCGATTTATATAAAAGTGTTCTTGACGAGTTTTTTAATCAAATCAAACCCATTTTTTGCTTTTTGATTATATATGTTTTTGATAACAAACGACGTTTCAAACGGTTGAAAAGTCTTTTGTGTGTGGTCTAGTTTAAAAAAGACGAACTTTTGAGCATTTCCTTAATTTTTAGGACGGTCTTTTTTCAAATTTAGTTCAATCCGGCCTAACTTGCACTCGGGTTTAATGGACCTCATTTCAAGTGTAGTTTTAAAATTTTTTGAAATTTTTAGATGAAATTACATTTTTTCTTACTTATATTATCAGCTTTTCAACTATGTCAAAGCTACAAATTTTTGGTTTACAATCCAAAGTTCGGCCGCAGTCAAGTTATGTTCATGGGCAAAATTGCTGACATTTTGGCGCAGAACAATCATAGAGTGGTATGTTTTAGATATTTGAACATTTTTTTACTCTATCTTTCCTAGACCTCACCTTAATCCTAGACATAGCTCTAGCTGTAGCCCAGGTCCCTAGCTTAGAGCCTTAGCCTAGAGCTTTAGTTCAAAGAACTTGCTCTAATCCTAGCCTTAGCCATTGTCTTATCTCTTTCCCTGTTGCTAGCCTTAGTCTTAACCCTAGACTTTACCTTGCTTTTAACCCTAGTTCTAGATCTAACTCTTCTTCTACTTTGTGTAAACCTATTATTAAACTTATTCAAGACTAAAGTAGCTCTCTTTAGGTAAACTACGTATCAGATATATCATCGAGTTTTAACGATACTGGCTCAAAAGTGGCTGAAACCTGGTTCAGAGAGAGGAAGTACAAATCCGATTACAATATTGCCACTTTTCACACATCAGCATGGCTAACTGACTGGTCGTATATTAGCATGTACAAGGTATGAGCTTTGACTTTACTTTCACATTTTATAAAATATAGATTTTAAAAATTTTTTGTTAAAAGCTTTAAAAATCTAAAAAGGAAGATCCCCCGAGCTGCCCAGCGACATTTTGAATTTTCCGCCAAATTGGTATTGTGTTTCAAGTTTATAACTGTCATTTTTTGACTTTTAATTATTTTTCTTTGTCATACTAATAGAATTCCTTTAAACAAACCTACATTTTTAAATTTATAAGCGTAGCTTGTTTGGAAAGTCGAAAAAAAGCGCTTGAAACACAATGCCAAGATTTCTAAATTGGCGGGAAATTCAATCTTTTTTTTTATTTTGAAACGCAAAAGCACTAGCTAAAATTTTTTATGGGTACTATTGGTGGTGCAAAGAATCTATATAAACATTTTGAGTTGATTCTGAGTCGGGCAGATTGGTTACTTTCTCTGTAAGGCACTGATAAGAAGGGCTTTAGCACAATAGTTTATTAGAGTAAAAATGGGCGAACAAAAACGTTAAAAATTGTAAATAAATAGAAAAACAGTAAATATTACCGACTCCCAAATCTTTTGGTTTTTTTTTTGAGATCATGAGCATTATCAGTACATTCTTGGATCGTGGCTTTTTTGCGAATTACGGTTCCAAAACACCAGTTTCTTATGTGCATAGTTACCGTCGTTCTTCTGGTATTCATCGTATTTCATTCGTTGATATCCAGTTGTCCTAACATTGTTCTTAGCCTTTATGTTTTCAAATTTCACTCTTTTATGGCTATTTTCTTCATTGTTCCTAGTATTCCTTCTAGTCATACTCTTATTGTCATAAGATCTGTACGCTTTCGTCTTTTCAGCTTCTTTTTGAGCGTATGCATCAAGTTTCATCCGTTCAGCTTGTTGGAGAGCGTCTTCATAAGCTTTTCTTCTGTTGGCTTCAGAGTTGTTTGGGTAGTCTTCGTATGAGTTTGTGATGTCAGCAAGGTCATTACTATGATGATCTTTGTATGGAGTTGTTCTGTCAGCAAGATATTTAGTACTATGGTCTTCGTATGGGTTCGTTCTGTCAGCAAGATCATTTGTATTATAGTTTTGGTAAGCCGTTGTTCTAGCCAACTCATCGTTATTCCAAGGCGCTTTGTAGGCTTTTGTGGTATCAGCAACATTTTCCTTGCTATGACCTTCGTATGAGTTCGTTCTGTGAGCAAGATCTTCATTACTATGATATTGGCAAGCCTTTGAGCTATCAGTAAGGTCTTTGTTACTATGATCGCAATATGGGTTTGCTCTAGCCAATTCATCGTTCTTCCAAAGATGTTTGTAAGCATTTGAGCTAACAGCACAGTCAGTCTCACTGTATCTTTCGTATGGGTTTGTTCTGTCAGCATTTTCTTTCATACTATGATCTTGGTAAGCCTTTGCGCTATAGGAAAGATCTTTCCTATTAGGACCTTCGTATGAGTTTGGTCTTCCCAGCTCATCGTTCTTCCAAGGAAATTTGTAAGGCTTTGAGCTAACAGCAAGGTCGATCTTACTATGATCTTCATATTGGTTTGTTCTATCAGCAAGGGCGTTCTTACTATGACCTTGATAAGTCTTTGGTCTTTCAGTAAGATCTTCATTACTATAATCTTCGTATAGGTTTGTTCTACCCAGCTTATCGTTCTTCCAAGAATCTTTGTAAGTCTTTGTTCTGTCAGCAAAATAGATCTTACTACGACCTTCGTACAAGCTTGTTCTAGCCAACTCGTCCTTCCAAGGACCTTCATAAGCTCTTTCTTTATCACTTCTAGCCTTCTTTTGAACTACTTTATCAGCCAAGAAGGCTAAGTTGTTAGTAGTGCCTTTGGTCCAAGTATCGCTATAAGCTTTCGTACTAACAGGTTTTGTGGATGTTCGTATAGTCTTATCGTGTGAAGAATTTTCATTGTTTTTGAGTCTTAATGATGGTAGGTTCAAATCGCAATCGGCAAATGGGTTTCTATTGAAATCATCATTTGTATCTGAGTTTATTAACTTCTGTTTAGCCATTCTTTCTTCATATGCTTTTCTGTCTTCTTCATAGATCGGGATTCGTCTTACACCAACAATTCGACCATTCACAATGTGCATCTTTAATATGTTAGGTATCAGGGCTTATCTAAAAACAGAAAAATTATTTTTTTTTCAATTTAAGAGAGGGTAGAGTAGACCTTGGCTCGGACTTGGTACGGCCTTGGCATAGGTTTGGTCCGGTCTTGGTCTAGCCTTGGCATGGACTTGGCCAGGCCTTGGCGCGCGTATAAATCCTCGGACCCGCAGATTACAAGACGAAGCTAAATTTAAAGGAACGGGCCGGACTTGTGCATGTAAGCTCAAGAAATGGGGCCCGAATCAAGGTCTCATCGGCCCAGCTTAGGTCTCGCAACGAAAACATTTGACTGACAAAAACTTTAAAACGAGATCAAACTTGTCGTTGAGGGATCTAGGTTACCTTTGGGCTTAAATATTAGGTGGTTCACTTAATTCTGCGCCCCATAACTCTAGAAATTTGCTTAAAAAGGAGAGTAGAATTAAGTGAACGACCTAATACGGTCTCTTTCAAATTTGCTTTTGCCTTACACAGCCGGCCCGTACCTAATGAGCCCTCTTTCAGGTCTAGGGTAGGACTTAAAATGAGGTACATTTTTTAAAAACGGTTGATAAAAGGTATGAGATATATGACACAAAACTGTAAAAAATTTTTAACCCTCTCCCAAGAAAAAAATTTTCGAAAAACGTTGAACGTGGTCCCCCCTGTGGATTTTTGAAAAAATGTTTTTCGACTCCCGCCCCCAGACCAAAAGGCCGGTCCTCGCTGTAATCGTTATTAGTTGTTGTTAGGAAGGGTAATGTAAAAGTAAACTGTTTAAACAAAGAAATAAATAAAAACGAAATAAGAAATAAATCAGTCAACTGATTCTATGAGGCAAAAAAAAAGAAATTGATTCGTTAAGGCTCGATCGTTTTTTTGGCAAACGCCGCTTTGTTTTTGATTTTTTGCGCGCAGCTTTTCCAATCGCTTTGTGTCAGTTTTATCACAAAAATAGACTTGAAAAAGAGCTTGCTATTCTTGCCGGGCTAGCTTTGCCGAAGCAAATTTGAATAGGGCAGCGCAAGAACACTTGGGCCTAAGGGCCGTGCTTACAACAAATACATGGGGGTCCAGCTTAGGTCCCACAACGAAAGATTTGACTTGCGAAAAGTGTAACGCTTATCCTATCTATTAAGTCTTATATTATATTAAAGATATACAAAGAATAAGCTAAAATAAAAAATTTTAAATAATTTCACTGCAATATAGAGAAAACGACCGGTAAAGTTTTGTAACAGAACTTTTGGCGCGCCTAGTATTAACATAATATTAGAGTAATCATATGTTTTTAAAGATAAAAAATGACATTTTAATGAAATATGTCTAAAAAAGGTATACTTTAGTTATTCTCCGCCATCGGCGAAGAGTTCCGAGTATCATGCGAGGATCAGCTGAAAGACACGGCATTTCTGGAGCGATTGAAAAAAGAAAACTTTGATGTTGGTTTAAGTGAATATTTCGATGTTTGTGGATTTCAAATTTTCAAAAAAATCGGAGTCAAAAAAGCACATTCTGGTTTATTCATCAGCTGTACCACAAACTGATGCTGCTATGTTTGGAGTGCCGGCTACGCCTTCTATTACTCCTAGTATGTTTATTAAGTAAGGTTGGGTAAGACTTGGGGTATAATAGCATAAAAATTAACGTAGGGTATGGCAGGTTAAGCCTTAGAGTAGGGGTGGGGTACAGCAGGGTAGGGCGGGAAACTTTAGGGCATGGCAAGGTATGCCTTAATGTAGGGCAGGGTAAGTCTGGGGCAAGGTCAGAGTAAGCCTTAGTGTAGGGCAGGGTAAGCTTTAGGGTAGGGCAAGGATAAGCTTTAAAATAGGGCGTGATAAACTGTAGGATAAGGCAGTATAAGCCTTTGTGTAGGGTAGGCCACGGTAAACTTTTATGTAGGGCACGGTAGAACATAGTAAGCCTTAGGATAAGGCATGAGTAAGCAGCTTTAAAGTAGTATAATATAGACTGTAGGGTAGGCTAGGATAAGATTTTGGGTAGGATAGGGCTGGGCAGGAAAAGTTTTAATGTAGGGTAGGGTAAGACTTAGGGTAAGGCGAATTAAGGCGTAGGGCACGGTAAGCCTTAATAGATGTTAGTTTAATTATTAGGGTACTACAGGGTAAACTTTATAGTAGGGTAGAGTTTAGTCTAGCTTAGCTAGAGGCTCCAACCCAGAGCCCTATTCCAGCCCGAAGGTTAGCTCAAAACACTAGATCGGAGCGGTTTTAACTAGCTTTTTTAGACATTGCTTATGGTTACACTCCAGATATGACATTTTATGAAAGAGTCCAGAACTTTTTGTCATATTGGGTCAATCACTTTGTCATGTTGGAAGTCTTAAAAGGAGAGCCGGCCAAGGCGTACAAGAATGTTTTTGGTGTCGATTTTGATTACCAGGTAACTAATGTTTTAACATACCCTGTCCTGTGCTCTGCCGTACAAAGCATTTTGGTTCTGTGCTCTGCCCTGTATCCAGCCTTGCTCAACTGTACCTAAAACAACTTTCTTTAGCAAGCCTTCGCCGAAAGCCAGTACGTCTTTGTCAATACTGATGAGCATCTGGACTTTCCTCAGATTATAACTCAAAAGAGGGTTCATATTGGTGGTCTAGGAATGCAGAACAATGACCTTACCGTGGAATTACCTCAGGAAATGGCACAGAAGATCAAGGAATTTAAGCAAGGATTCGTCTTGGTATCGTTTGGTACGGTAGCTTCTAGTTACAGTATGCCGGAGCATGTGAAGACGGCTTTTAAAGAGGCGTTTCAAATGTTTCCTGAGGTTTTGTTTGTAATGAAATATGAAAAAGATGATGAATATGCGAAGGGCGTGAAGAATATTTATAAAGTGAAGTGGCTACCTCAACGAAGCTTGTTAAGTAGGTACTGTAATGTTAAAGGGAAGGATTGAAGCTGAGGTAGGATAGGTTTTTAAGGTACTGCAGGGTATGGTAAAGGGCTGTAGGGAAGGGTATAAGAGGCAGTAGAGTAGGATAGAGTAAGCAGTAGGGTAGGGTACAGCAAACACTGAGGTAGAATACAGAAAGCGGGATAGGGTAGGGTAAAGCGAGCGCTAGGGTATGGTAGAACAAGCAGTAGGGTAGGGTAGAGAAAGCAGTAGGGTAGAGCAAGCACTGGGGTAGGGCAGAGGAGGAAGTAGGGCTGGGTAGGGTAAGTTTATGCAAGGGCAGAGTAATTCTTATGGTAAGGTAGAATGGGGTAGGGCAGGGCCGAAAACGACTAGGGCATGAGTGTGGCAGGGTAAGAAAGAGTAGATTTTTGAATCTAGGGTGTGGATTTTTCAATTTGGAGTAGATTTTTTAAGGTGGGGGAGATTTTTAAAGGCAGGGTAGATTTTTGAATATAAGGGGTGATTTTTCATGGCAGATCGAAGTTTTAAGGCAGGGGAGATTTTCCAAGGAAGGGTAAATCAGGATATTGTAATGCAGGGTAGGGTAATAATAATTGCACTACTTTAGACCATCCAAAAGTGTTGGCTTTCATTACCCATTCCGGTATGAATAGTGTCACGGAAGCTACAAATGCTGGTGTTCCAATGGTCAACGTGCCATTATTTGCCGACCAAATGTATAATTCAGCTATGGCGATTTCAAAAGGCGTTGGTTATCGACTGGACAAGTTTAAGATAACGAAGAATACTGTAGTTGAAGCGCTTCGTACTGTTATTCAAGATGAGAGGTAAGCGATGCCCTACCCTAACTACCCTACCCTATTCAACCCTACCCTATTTAACCCTACCCTACACCACTCTACCCTACCCTGCCTTACCCTACGCTACCCTACCCTACCCTACCCTACCCTACCCTACCCTACCTTACCCTACCCTACTCTACTACGCTACCTTACCCTACCCTACTTTACCGTACTCTACCGTATCCTATTCTATCGCAACCTACCCTACCTAACTCTTCCATACCTTACTTTAAATTAATGTACTTTATTGACCAAGTCTAAGCTACGTTAAGTTATTTTAAGATGCCTTACTCTATTCTACCTCATGGCCTACCTTATGTTATTTTACTTTGGTGTGCCTTACTGTACTTTAATTTAACCTACTCTACCTCGCTAATAAGTCCTACGCTATTTTACCCTTATCTTACCTTACCTTACCTTACCTTACCTTACCTTACCTTACCTTACCTTACCTTACCTTACCTTACCTTACCTTACCTTACTCTATCATAACTTATCTTACCTTATCTTAAATAGGTATATGTTATTGTATTGTATTCTACCCTACTTTATACTAAACTTACAAAGTTTTAGTTACAAAAAGCGATCCAAAGAGCTCTCCAGAATGATAAGGGCCAAGCCAATGAGTCCAGACGAGAGAATTCAGAAATATTCAGAGTTCGCTGCTGAGTTCAATATAGCTGACAATCTAGACATATATGGAAGAGATTTTAGTGCTTTTAAATTTTACTCTATTGATATCATGTTATTTTTGTCGACATTTACTATGATAGTATTATATAGTATTGTAAAAATTTTAAAAGTTGTTTTAAGGCTATGTTGCAGTAGAAAAGATAAAGAAGAATAAACTAAGGATAAAATGTAAAATACGAGTCGTGTTGGCAAGAACTTACTTTACAAAACAAAAAACGGCAAGAACTTTCTTTACAAAACAAAAAACGGCAAGAACTTTGTTTACAAAACAAAAAATGGCAAGAACTTTCTTTACAAAACAAAAACTTGCCAAAATATGTCTATTTCATACCTATTTTAATCAAAAAAACTCAGAACTTTCAGGCACAGGACTTTTTACTGAGTATTCTCTATCGTATAAGTTGAGTTTTGCAGTCTGCACAGCTCAAACAATTTGAAAATTCAGTGTTATGCTTTTTCATTTATAAAATAAAAAAAAACAAAAATTTTTTATTTTTTATTACCAAAAAAAATTTAAAAAAAAAATTGTCGAAAAAAAATGTTGTTCAATTTGTTATTGATGGTCTGTGGAAACCGGTCGGCTTGGTGGGCAAAGGTCGAGCAAAAGCTTCGACGATTTGTGGGAATGGACCATTCTGACAGTTTTTCCGAAGCGTCTTATATGGACTTCAGTAGTGGCTCTTCTGGATGGGTGTCGTAAGTTATTCGAGGGAAAGCTCAATTTTCTAGGGCCGATAGTTCTTTTGAGGGCAGGGTAGATGAAAAAGTTGATGAATATAGATTTTTAAACGCAAGGTGGTGTTTTTCTGAAAGAGTGTGTTTATCGAGGCAGGAAGAATTTATTCAAGGCAGAATGAATTTTTCAAGGCAGGGTAGATTTTTCAAAGTACGGTGCAACTTTAAAGGCAGTGTGAATTTTTCAAGCTAAAGTTGAATTTTTGAGGCGGGGTAAATTTTTGAAACTATGGGGTAAATTTTCTAATGCAGGGTGAATTTTCAAGCCAGAGTTGAATTTTCAAGGCAGGGTAGATTTTTTAAGCAACGGGGTGGATTTTTAAAAGCGAGTTACATTTTTGAAAGCAAAGTCGATTTTTCAAGGCAAGGTAACTTTTTCAACCTATGGGGTCGTTTTAAGTAGGTTAGGGTAAGGTAGGGTAGGGTAGGGTAGGGTAGGGTAGGGTAGGGTAGGATAGGGTAGGGTAGGGTAGAGTAGGGTAGGGTAGGGTAGGGTAGGGTAGGGTAGGGTAGGGTAGGGTAGGGTAGGGTAGGGTAGGGTAAAGTAGGGTAGGGTAGGGTAGGGTAGGGTAGGGTAGGGTAGGGTAGGGTAGGGTAGGGTAGGGTAGGGTAGGGTAGGGTAGGGTAGGGTAGCATAGGGTAGGGTAGGGTAGAGTAGGGTAGGGTAGGCTAATTTTATTTTTTAAATTTCAGAACTCTCTTTACTCGAACAACTTTGTCCGACTACAGTACTCCGACCGATAATACTACAGTAAGCGCTTCTGTATGGGAGTCTTCTGAACAATCTTTTGAGCCTTTTGAATGTGATTGTGAAGAAAGTAGTGTTGAAGCCTCGTCTTTGGGAACGGAAGAAAAGAAAATTTACCAAAATCTAACGGAGAGACTACAGGAATTTGAGAGAGTCAAAAGATTGGTGCAGAATATGGGGAAATGCCTAAAATATCCATATAATGTAAGTTTTGTCAGTTTGAAGGCTGTAAAGAAAGTTTCTGCCATTTTATGTTTTGTAAAGAAAGTTCTTGCCATTTTTTGTTTTGTATAGAAAGTTCTTGCCATTTTTCGTTTTGTAAAGAAAGTTCTTGCCATTTTTTGTTTTGTATAGAAAGTTCTTGCCATTTTTCGTTTTAATAAGAAAGTTCTTGCCATTTTTCGTTTTGTAAAGAAAGTTCTTGCCATTTTTTGTTTTGTATAGAAAGTTCTTGCCATTTTTCGTTTTGTAAAGAAAGTTCTTGCCATTTTTCGTTTTGTAAAGAAAGTTCTTGCCATTTTTTAGCCCAGAAGACGTCGAAGCCTCCGCTACAGTAGGCCCGGGTACCCAACCAAAAAAAGACTCCAAAATGCCTTCAGGACCTATTTTTCGAAGCAACCGGCCAAGCCCTATGATAAGAGTGTCTACAATCCATACGGGATATTGTACTGGCCGGTGGAGAAAGATTAGTTGTATTAGTTGGCATATTGTGATTACGAGGAGCTATGTATTACGTTATTATTATTTGATTATAAAGAATGTAATGAACGTCTTTATAGGTACTGTGGCGTATACTGTAATAAACATGCAAGGTAGAATAAGGTAGATCGTAGAGTAGGATAAGTTTAATATTTTTGAATAAGGTAGTTCTTAGGCTAGTTCTACCTTAGAGCCGCAGCCCAGAGCTCTAGTCCTGCTCTACCTCCAGAACCCTAACCCAGAGCTCTTGCTCAGAGTCCTACCCCCAGAGCTCAAGCCCAGAGCCCTAGACCAGAGCCTTAGCTTAGAACCCTAGCCAAAAGCCCTAGCTCAAGGCTCTATTCTTAGCCTAAAACTTAAAGTTTTAGCTTGACCAGACAATCGGGCCAGGCCTAGGTTTTTGCCCATCTCGCTTTAATTTTGCTCTACCCTGGACTAGCCAGGCTAGACATGATAAACGGTCTGGCCGGCGTTGACCTAAATTAAGGTCGAAACGGATCTGAAAATCAAGGCCCGGCCCGTTTGGACGCCAAAAAAAAATCGGGCCGGGCTTGTGCAAAATTTAGATCGGGCCAAACCTAACACTCAAGTCCGGCCTGACCCGTTCTCCACTATGTTTTGCCGGATCGGTCCATTCTAGACCAATGAAAAAATATTAGACTGGACCGGAAAAACCTCAGTTTGGTCCGTGCCGGACGGGATCTAGCTTTTGAACCCAGAGCCCTAGTCCAGAGCCCTAGCCCAGAGCCCTAGCCCAAAGCCCTAGCCCAGAGCCCTAGTCCAGAGCCCTATCCCAGACCTCTATCTCAGAGCCCTAGCCTAGAGCCCTAGCCTAGAACCATATCCTTGAGTAGTAGCAGTCATGGTCTATCCTTGGCTTTGAGCCCAAAGCATTACTTCTAGCATTAGCACTGATGAACAAGTGTAAAGCTAATCACACTGACACCCAGCCAAATGTGATGACTAACTTTGTTGTGATGTTGTTTAAGCCATCAGTACATCACCTTCTTCCGCCATGAGTAATAAAGGTAGCGAAAAGTAGTAACACGCGAGATGGGGGAGGGGGTTAGTTTAAACTTTAAGAAAGCGATCGCTCTTCGAAACCGTTTAAAACGCCGTCAAGACATAACATAAAGACTGTCACTATATAAGGCAAAGGTCGGTCGCTTTCGAAAAGGCATCTCAACATGAAACTTTTGGTTTGTTTAGCGATTTGTGGCGTCGCGACAGTTTTGTCGCTGCCGTCGCGTGAAGTGCAAAGTGTCGCTGTGACCGGTCGATTGATTTGTGATGGAAAACCGGCCACCAGTGTGGTAAGTTTTTGATATTGTAGTAGTGGTTTTGGCTTTAGGGCTGATTTTTTTTTGCTTTAAAATGCAAGAACTTTCTTTACAAAACGAAAAATAGCAAGAACTTTCTTTACAAAACAAAAAATGGCAAGAACTTTATTTACAAAACAAAAGATGGCAAGAACTTTCTTTACAAAACAAAAAATGGCAAGAACTTTCTTTACAAAACATAAAATGGCAAGAACTTTCTTTACAAATGAAAAAATGGCAAGAAGTTTCTTTACAACCCAAAAAATGGAAAGAGCTTTTTTTACAAAATAAAAAATGGCAAGAACTTTCTTTACAAAACAAAAAATGGCAAGAACTTTATTTACAAAACAAAAGATGGCAAGAACTTTATTTACAAAACAAAAAATGGCAAGAAGTTTCTTTACAACCCAAAAAATGGAAAGAGCTTTTTTTACAAAATAAAAAATGGCAAGAACTTTCTTTACAAAACAAAAAATGGCAAGAACTTTCTTTACAAAACAAAAAATGGCAAGAACTTCCTTTACAAAACAAAAAATGGCAAGAACTTTCTTTACAAAACAAAAAATGGCAAGAACTTCCTTTACAAAACAAAAAATGGCAAGAACTTTCTTTACAAACCAAAAAATGGCAAGAACTTTCTTTACAAAAATTATTTTTCGTATTTTAGAAAGTAAAACTGTACGACTCGGACACCTTCACCTTGGACGACCTGATGGGTGAGACCAAAACCGACAGTGACGGTAAACTACTGGTTCGTGGCTTCGCCAAAGAATTCACCAACATTGACCCCAAAATCAACATCTACCATCACTGTGGTGACACTGGTGGACTGACCCAGAAGTGCACCAAGAAGTTCAGTATCCAAATCCCAAAGAGCTATATTACCCACAAGAAGGAGCGGGCTGACAAGATCTTCGACGTTGGAACGTTGAACTTGAACGCCAAGTTCAGCGGAGAAGGAAGAGACTGCTTGAACTGAACCTACCTCAATATTACCTCTTTTCTTAAACTTAATAAATTTTAAAATTTTGAAATTTTTTTGGAATTTTAACTTTTTTTTTAAATTTTATTAAAATTTTTAAATTTAAAAAAAAATTTTAAATCAAAAAAATTTTTTAAAAACCAATTTTCATCAACATCCAACCCTGCATGCCCTATCCCAGAGCCAATAACAAGAGGAAACGAAGCGTGCAGGGATGGCCGAGTGGTCTAAGGCGCTAGACTCAAGCGAAACAGCTTCGTCGCAACCCGACGGTTCGGAGCCTTCTAGTATCGTTATCGATGCGTGGGTTCGAATCCCACTTCCTGCAGAAGTTTTTGCCTTTTTCGAAAGATTTTAGGTAACAAAATGAAAATATTTTGATATTTTAGGTAACAAAAGTTTAAAAAATTGATTTTTAAGAGGTTTTCATGGGGTTTTGGGTTTAAAAATGGGAGTTTTAAACTAAAAAGGCTGGTTTTACTTGAGTTTTTTCTTGTTTTTGGCTGTTTTTTCTGTAAAGAAAGTTTATACATTTCTTTTCAAATTTTCAGGTAACAAAAATATTAGAAATTTAATTTTTCTAGTGTTTATAGGTTTAAAAATGGCAGTTTTGGACTAAAAAGGCTTGTTTTTGTTTATTTCCTACACTGTAAAGAAAGTTTTTGCATTTTTCGAGAAATTTTAGGTAACAAAATGATCAAACGTTTGTTTTTTAGGTAACACAGGTTGGCTAGAGCTCTGGACTACAGCTCTGGGCTGGGCCTCTCGACTAGGGCTCTGGGCTAGCGCTCTGGGCTAGGGCTCTGGGCTAGGGCTCTGGGCTAGGGCTCTGGGCTAGGGCTCTGGGCTAGGGCTCTGGGCTAGGGCTCTGGGCTAGGGCTCTGGGCTAGGGCTCTGGGCTAGGGCTCTGGGCTAGGGCTCTGGGCTAGGGCTCTGGGCTAGGGCTCTGGGCTAGGGCTCTGGGTTAGAGCTCTGGGCTAGGGTCCTGTACTAGGCCTCAGACTATGACTCTGGACTAGGATTCTGGGCTGGGCTATACATACATCAAATTCCAAAAAATGAGTCAGTAAGTTTATTCCAAGTCAGTAAAACCGAGTAGGTTGTAGTGTGAATTGGCCTTCTACTTCTTAAAACAATCTCCGCCGACTCCAGCCAGGGTTTGGTAGTTGGGGTCGTGTGTGCCGGCAACGCCGCCTTGAGCCGGGGGTTTTGGTGCTGATGGTGCTGCACCACCGCCGCCACCTCCGCCGCCCTTCTTGTCCGCGCCGAAGCAGTCGCCGCCCACGCCGGCTAGGGTCTAAAAAGGATTGTCATGAGGTCAAATTTCGAATTTTTTAAATTTTTTTTTTCGAAAAAAAATCTCAAAAAATCCCCCACCTGATAGTTGGGATCATGAGTTCCAGCTACACCACCTTGAGCGGGTGCTTTTGGTCCAGCGCCACCAGCAGCTGGGGCGGCTCCACCACCTCCGCCGCCAGCTCCGCCCTTGTCTTGGAAGCAGTCTCCGCCAACGCCAGCCAGAGTCTAAAACGTAACAATTAGGTAACAAATTGACGATTTTATAGTATTTTAGGTAACAAAAACACAACTTCTTGGTATTTTAGGTAACAAAAACATCATTTTTTAATATTTTAGGTAACAAAACCACAAGTTTTTAATATTTTAGGTAACAAAAATCCATTTTTTAGTATTTTAAGTACCAAAATTTTCAAAAAATTCATGTTTTTTTTAAATTAAAAAAAAACTTAAACGAATGAAAAAACATGCCCTACCTGATAGTTCGGATCGTGTGTACCAGCCATTCCACCAGCAGCTGGTGGTTTTGGTCCTCCGCCAGCTGGTGCTGCCGGCGCGGCTCCACCACCGGCTCCGCCCTTGTCCGCGAAACAGTCTCCACCCACGCCAGCAAGTGTCTAAAAATTTGAAATTTTAAAATTAAAAAGAAAATTTTTAATTTCAAAAATTTCAAAAGTTCAAAAATTTGAACTTGTTTCCCCCCTGTGGGCTTTTTTCAAAATTTCAAAAAAAATTTTAAAAAACCAAAACCCATGCCCTACCTGATAGTTGGGGTCGTGTGTACCAGCCATACCACCTTGAGCTGGTGGTCGTGGTGCATTCGGTGGTGGTGCTCCACCAGCTCCGCCTCCTGCTGCTGCCGCTTCCTTCTTGGATCCGGGTTTTGAAGACTTGGATTTCTCTTCATCTCCACCTTCCTCATCACCGGCTTCCGTTGCTGCCTTCTTTTTCTGAAATTTGCAGCATAAAGTACCATGCCCTGATTATAAAAAAGTGCCCTCTTACCTATCAAGAACTTAATCATTTAAAATGTCATAAATTGTAAAAAAACGACAAACACAGCCAAAAAAGACAAAAAAAGGTAGTGCAACCCACAAAAACCGTCATAACTTTTGGGCTGACCGGTCGATTTTTACAATTTTAAATATTTAGATACCTAAAACCATGCTTTATCACCAGCAATCAAAACATACTTAAAAACGCTGCAAAAACTTTCTTTACACCTCAATTTCGCCCGTAGAGAAACCCCCAAGACAATAATAGCAAGGTTTATTAAAAACGATTTTCTTTAGCCCATGCATAAAAATCAAAATTTTAGAGCGTGTTCGCTTCAAACCGCAATAACTTTGTTTACAATTGTCCAATTTTAAAAAATTTTTGAATCCTCAGCACCACAAAAGTCTTTCCTTTATTTTACAGCTTAAAACTTTTAAAAAACAATCCAGTAACATCAACAAAAACCTAAAACAACATCAAAAACTCTTCAATCCCCGAAAATCACAAGACCGCCGCGGAAACTGTCTAAAACCTTACCTTCTTGCCACAACCTATCAGAACCTGCACCAACGCCCCGAAGCCGACGAGTATCGTGCTGAAAAGCAGTAGCAGCAAGTCCATGTCAACCAAGTTGTCGATGGAACAGACCGCTCGGCTCAATCTCACCCAGTCAAATATGCCGCCGTCCCGAAGGTGTGCGACGATTAGTAATGAAAAAAATTTAAAATTTCTGTCCAATATCGGTGGGAAATTTGCATAAATTTAGGTCAAACGATTTGTTTTTTGGAATTTTTGGCTGAAATTTGGGATTTTGAAAAGGCTTTTTGATGTTGTTGTAGCCTTTTTGGTAGGAAAAATTAAGAGAAATGGTTTTAGAAGTCAAAGTAGACATAAATTTTTGCCTAAACACATCTAAACTACGTTGATAATCGAATATTATCAGCAAATTTACAATTTTACGAAATTTATAAAAACGTGTCTTCATGGTATATTGGCAGTGTGCCCAACATAACGCTCCAAAGCATCTTAAATAAGATTTTTTTTTCACATTTCTTCAATATTTATATTATCTATGTACTATAACGTTGTTATGAAACCACCATCACTGACTAGACATCTACTTCTTCCTTCTACTTTCCAAGAATCTTTTTGTAGCTTCCAAGCTTTCTTCGCTTAAAAACCGCTCTCTGAGCATCTTCATCTCTCTTTGGTGTACTTGGTGCAGTTTCTCCTTTTCCAGTTCACGGCTCATAACCTTGTTGATTCGAAGCGAATTTTTAGGCAGCTTACTGTAACTTTTAAGCAGTTTTTCTGTTTCTTCTTCAAATTGGTCTTTTGGTACTAATCTGGCCACTAATCCCCAGTCTAGAGCTTCTTTTGCGGTTATGGTGCGGTTGAAGAGAAGTAGGTCTTGTGCCTGTAAAAGTACTGTAATTTTTGTGAATTTTGTAAAATTTGTCGATAAATATCTCTTCTTCTAGTTTAAAATCTAAAAATTGCTCTACTTACCCTAGAAGTGCCCAAGAGCTTGTTGAAAGTATAGGTTGAGCAGCCTTCTGGCGAATATCCGAGCGGCGTGAAAGGGGTGTTGAATACAGCCTAAAACAATATGATCAGCCCGAAACAACCCTTCAAATCATACTTCAAAACCTTCCCAAGACTCTGCTGATTCTTTCGACATCAAAAACATACCTAAAAACTAAAAAACAATTTTAAAATAAGCTTACGTTGTCCACGGCAATAACAACATCACAAAGTGGAAGACAAGTAGTTCCAATTCCATATCCTGGACCATTCACCAAACAAACCAATGGCTTTTCATGATCAATAAAGGCATTGAAGCAGTCAGTAACGGCCGCGCACAATTTATCGGCCGTTTCTTCTAACGCCGCCTTGCTGTCCACTTTGCCAATATTATTCAAGTCATTTCCAGCTGTGAAGAGTTTACCACGCCCTGAGAGGACGGTAATCTTAGATTCCGAGTCTGAATCAGCTGTCCTCAAAGCCTTGGCCAGCTCGTGAAACATGGGAATGTGAAAAGCGTTGAAGACTTCTGGACGGTCGAGGATAACGCGATATAAAGGACCCTCTGGCTTCTGGGTAATGCCATTGACTGCCGTCGAAGCTTCAGCTGATTGACTGAAAGTAAAACATTATTTTTAAATTCTTTATAGTCTTGTTATGCTTCTCAAACATTTTGAATCATTTATATTGAAAAACAAAACCAAAACTTCAAATTCCAGGCTTCCAACCCAATTTTTATCAACATCATTACCTAAACCACAAAAAAAAATAGAAATAACTTACGCCATAGCTCTAACAGCACCAAAACTCCGTAGCAAATGTCCGGAACGTTGCAACATGATCAAAATTCGGCTCAACACAAGCGAAACAAACTGATTTTATCTAAAACAATATCAATAACAAACAAATTTCTCTTTTTCTTGTAAAAAACAATTTACAATCCAAAGTCCTCGATTTGTGATAGAAGAAGGGTTTATTAGATAAAAAAAAGTGGTTTGAATTCCTCTGTACAAAAAGTGTAGCTAAACGTATCTGATTTTAGTTTATTGACGTAGTGTAATATTTCTGGTTATAACAAAAACATTTTTACGCAAAAAGGTATGAATTTATATTAAAAAGAGTCTTCAAGATCTTCTAAAGCTTATAAAAATATAACGGTCTCATTAAAACATCGTGTTTAAAAAGCAAAACAGCAATCCGATATTACACTAGACATCAATGAAGAAAGTTTATAAAATGAGTATTTTCCATAATATCAAACCCATTTTAAATGTTCTTAATACATAAAATATATCACAACGACAGTTTTAAAGCTCTAAACCAAAGAATTAAAACGCGATTTGATATAGAAACAAAGATATTACACTTGACAGCAAGGACTCCGCAGGGTCAACGAAAAATCAAGCTTCAAAGCTGAAAATTGGATGTAAAAACAAGAAAAAAATTAAAGTTGATGTAAAAACTAATGTAAAATGTCGATAACAGTCTTATATACGATTCTAAGTATGTTACATACAATTTTTTTTCCAGATTTTCGGAAAAATTCAAAGAAATTTCAAACGAAAAAAGCCCGCCAAATTTGGAATTTAGCAAAAATCTTCATTCTTGACCTCATTTTTATGCAAATTTTGGTCCAAATTCTAATGCCGAGTTCCCAAAAACCGCATTTTCGAAATTTTCATTACCAATTCGCGATCACAGTCGGGACGGCGGCACATTTGACTAGTTGAGATTGAGCCGAGCGGTCTGTTCCAGCAAGAATTACTGGGCCTGAACAAGACCTCAAGAAGTTTCACCCGGATTTGTCATGGACGTATTGTGGCTGCTGTTGACCACGTCATTGGTGGGCTTCGCCACATTGGTACAGATTCTGATAGGTTGTGGCAAGAAGGTAAGGTTTTGGAGGGGTTCTGGTTTGATGTTGTGGTAGGAGACTTGGGGCTTGTTTGATAGGTTTTTGAGCGGATTTTGAAGTTTTTAGAAGGTTAACATAACAATAATGATGAAGAAGGACCTTGTGGTCATACTGGTTTTTAAAATTTTAAAATTGACAAACTGGAAAGAAAGTTATTGCGGTTTTGGTCAGACATACTCTAAGAGCTTGATTTTTTTGGAATAGGCGTAAAGAATGGGCTGAAAATAAAGTTTTTGCAATTTTTTTCACAAATGTTTAAATTTAAGGTGATAGACTAATGTTTTAGCTATCTAAGCAGCTTAAAACTGTGGATATTGGTCTGACGTCCAAAAAGTTATGGCATTATTCGTGAACCCACTTCTTTTTTTTGTTGTTACCTCCTTGGACGAAAATGGTTTGTAAAGAAAGTTTTAGCATGGATTTTAAAACTTCTGAAGTCCACAGTGATAGACTATGGTTTTTGTTACCTAATCATTTAAAAATTTTGAAAATCGACCGGTAGTTACAAAAGTTATGACGTTTTTAATGGACCCATTTCAGAAGAAAAAAGAAACTGCGAAAAGCGAGGCGAACGATGATGAAGATGGTGGACCGGAAGAGAAGTCGGTGGCCAAAACTCCAAAGGCCGACGGAGGAGGCGCGAAACCACCTGCCGGAGGACCAGTACCAGGCGCACCAGCCGGTTCAGCCGCTCCACCTAACCCGAACGGACCAAAAGCACCAGCTCAGGGAGGAATTGCCGGAACACACGATCCTAATTACCAGGTAAAATTTGGGTTTTGTTACTTAAAATACTGGAAAATGGCTTTTTTGTTACCTAAAATATTAAAAAATGGCTTTTTGTTACCTAAAATACTGAAAAATTGTGTTTTTGTTACCTAAAATACTAAAAAATGGTGTTTTTGTTACCTAAAATACTAAAAAATTGCCTGTTTGTTACCTAAATTTTACTTTTTCAGACTTTGGCCGGTGTCGGCGGAGACTGCTTCCAAGACAAGGGCGGAGCAGCCGGCGGAGGCGGAGCAGCTCCAGCTGCTGGCGGCGGAGGACCAAAAGCTCCAGCTGCTGGTGGTATTGCCGGAACTCACGACCCGAACTATCAGACTTTGGCAGGCGTGGGTGGCGACTGTTTCGGCGCGGACAAGGCGGGAGGAGGCGGCGGGGGCGGTGGTGCAGGACCAAAAGCACCGGCTGCTGGTGGTATCGCCGGTACTCATGACCCCAACTATCAGGTGGGGCATGGTTTTTATTTATTTTATGACTTCTGGGAGGGGGGGGTGGGGGTAGTTTTTGATTTTTTTTACTTCGGGGTAGGGAATGAGGGGGGGGAAGTTGGCTCATGGGCTAATTCATGAAGTGTATGGCATGGGCAATGAAGTAAATTTAAAACTTTTCAGACCCTCGCCGGTGTGGGCGGAGATTGTTTCGGCGCAGACAAGAAGGGCGCAGGTGGCGGTGGAGGCGGCGGTGGTGCAGGACCAAAAGCACCAGCCGCCGGTGGAGTGGCCGGTACCCACGACCCTAATTACCAAATCCTGGCTGGAGTTGGTGGAGACTGCTTTGGAGCCGACAAGAAGGGTGGAGGCGGTGGTGGTGGCGGTGGAGCAGGACCAAAAGCTCCAGCTAACCAAGCTGATAAGGTAGGTTTTTGAGGAAAGTTTGGGGAAAAGTTGGTTGTAAAGAAAGTTTTTGCAAGAATTTTTAATTTTTTTACTTACTGTAGGGTATTGGCTATATAATCATGGTAGAGTTTTGGAAATTGGTCTACTTGTCAAAAAGTTATAGCAGTTTTAATGGACCCTACTTTTTTTGGGTTTTTTGTGGGTAATATGGGATAAAATGCTCTGTAAAGAAAGTTTTCGCTGATTCCTTAAAAATATTTTTGAAGTTTATGCTAAAGTAGTCTTTTAGGGATCTATTAATTGTACAACTTCGAAAATCGATAGACAGGTCAAAAAGTTATGGCAGTTTTAGTTGACCCTACCCATTTTTCGGAAAAATTTAATTTTTCAAATCTTAAACTCAGTTTCAATACTAAAAACGAATAGTACTAACGCTTTTATGGCTTTCAGGCCGGTACTCATGACCCTAACTACCAAACCCTGGCTGGCGTGGGCGGCGACTGCTTTGGCGCAGACAAGAAGGGCGGCGGTGGTGGAGGAGGTGGTGCTGGACCAAAAGCACCAACTAACCAACAAGCTAAGGTAATTCTTTGTTTTTATGGGTTGATAAGGCATTGGTTAGCTATGATAAGGCTTAATAGCATTTTTTGCACAAAAGTTGCCGAAGTTGCTGAAAAAAGTTGCGACAACTTTTTTTGAATTTTTTAATAAAAATTGGTTGCGATGTACTATATATAATATTACTTTTACATTTTTTCAGGCCGGTACCCACGATCCCAACTACCAAACGTTGGCTGGAGTCGGCGGAGACTGTTTCGGCGCTGATAAGAAGGGTGGGGGCGGCGGAGGTGGTGCCGCGCCGAAAGCACCTGCCAATCAGCAAGCTAAGGTGAGTTATAAAGGTTTTTGAAATGTTTTTTTTAATTTTAAATTACATTTTACAAAATTCAGAAAAAGTTGCAGAAGTTGCCGACAAAAAGTTGCGGCAACTTTTTTCAAAGAAAATTCATTTTTTGGCTTAGAGAGCATTTCTAAGCTTGTGTAACATACTTCGAAGTAATTTTATGCAAATGACATGACTTTTTAGGTCGGAACCCACGATCCGAACTATCAAACCCTGGCCGGCATGAAGGAGGATTGCTTCAAGAAGAAGTAGTAGGCCAATCTACATCTAGCTAGCTGACATTTTGTTGTTTGGAAATAAACTTGAAATTGACCATTTTTTTCATTTTGTTTGGTTTTGGTTTCTTTTTTAATGTTTTAGGTAACAAAAAGGTAAATTTTTAGTATTTTAGGTAACAAAATTATAATTTTTTAGTATTTTAGGTAACAAAAATACACTTTTAAGTAATATTTATCCACTCTCTCATCGTATGTGGTCCGAAATGGCAGTAAAAGCCAAATAAACAAGATAACAAACACTGTATTAGGCTCGGCATGTTGTTTTAGTTACGTAATTTTTCAAAAAATTTTGTTAAAAGTGCCATTCTTTATTTCATAATTTTAAAATGTTTGTTTAGGTTTATATTACTGTTAGCACTTTTAAAAATTTTGAAAAAAGTTCAAAATATAAAATTACTTTACAAGGTTTGAAATTATGGAGAAGGGGTCTTTTGTTACCTAAAATATTAAGAAATAGTGTTTTTTTAAAGAAAATAGTAAAAGCTGGTTTTTTGTTACCTAAAATACTAAAAAATTGTGTTTTTGTTACCAAAAATATGTAAAAAATTATATATTTGATACCTAAAATATTAAAAATTTGTATTTTTGTTACCTAAAATACTAAAAAATGGTTTTTTGTTACCTAAAATATTAAAAAATAGTGTTTTTGTTACCTAAAATATCAAAAAAAATAGTGTTTTTGTTATCGTTTGTTGTACACACAATCCTAATCACTAGGTAGGACATGGTTTTTTAAATTTTTTAGTTTTTTTGCCTTTTGGGTATAATTTTTAAAATTTTGAATTCTTTTGTTATTTTTATAGTTTTGTTACCTAAAATATTAAAAAATTGTATTTTTGTTACCTAAAATACAAAAAATAGTGTTTTTGTTACCTAAAATGCTAAAAAATGACTTTTTTGTTACCTGAAGTATAATGTATGTGTGACATTTTTGATACCTTTACTTTAGAAATGACATTATTAGGTTGTTAGGTAAGTCGTGGGCCCCCTTTCAACACAAATGTTTGAAAAATCAGGAAAAAAATTAATATATATCGAAAATTGAAAATTTTGATGTCCTTTTATAGTTTAAAACCTATATTTTCAGAATATGTAAGTTTCAAACCTCTTTTAATTTTTTGTTTTGTTGTTTTAGTGGCCAGAACATTATAGGGCAAATGACGACTTTGGGTAGTGATGTAAAAGAGTACAAAACAAGTCGTAACGTTAAAACTACGGCCGGATTCATAAATAAGACACATGGACAAAGTATTGTGAGCTACACAACAGCAAAAATTTGGTTCCAAAAGCTTCCTTCTGGAGATGAGACGCTTGAAGAAAAGTGGAGGTCCTGTAGAGTAGTTCTCTATAATTCCTTGAAACTTGGCCAAACCATAACTGTTAGTACGTATTCTATTAATATTGACCAAATGCGCCACTATCTACCTTCAAAGTTGAGAAACAGAAGGTCAATTATTGTTCATGACAGTGTCCGCCCCTACTTGGCAACGATGACCGCAGAAAAACAACGGGTTTGGATACAAAGTTTTTGACCATCATTTGTATTTACTCGACATGATAGCTACATATTACCATATTTTCAAATCTTCGACAGCATTTATGTGTCAGCGACAATCCACTGAAGATGACGATGTCATGGAAGCCACCAAAATTTTCTTAGGCTCTAGAAATTCTGAATCCTATGCTACTGGGATAAAAATGCTTAAAAACGTTGGACACATTGTGTTAATGTTGATGATAACTATTTTGATTAATAATTAGTTCTTGTTGTAACGCAAAAAATTTTTTTCTGATACACGGTTAGGGGGGGCCCACGACTTACCTAACAACCTAATACAATAGATATGTCTACCTATTCTACTATACTTTTATGACAAAAAAGACTTCATTTGTGGTCTTTATGGTCATGGTTATTGGTATACCAACGTAAAATGACATTACTTTTACTATATCAATGTAAAAATGACATTACTCTTAGTATATCAATGTTAAAATGGCATTACTTTTATTATATCAATGTAAAATGACAGTTTTTGTTAGTCAGTCATAATAAAAATGACATTATTCATGTTATCTCACAGCTATTAAATATTAGATGCCGACATAAAGAACCCGCCATGTTTTGCCTGTAATTTCCTGTAAAAAATGGCGGGTTCTTTATGTCAGCACCTAATATTTGACCCAATTGATGCCATTATTATGATGACAAAAGTATATATGTATATGATGACAAAAGTGTTTTGGTATGTTATCCTAAATCTCTTTGCCGTTTTGTTTACATAGCTAAACAATGGGTACCATTTAGTACCATACAAGTCGAAAAGCACGAAATTTAGAAAATTAGCACTATTAGTACATACAGTACCAAAAAATTAGAAAGTAGCCTCATTTTATCGAATTTACATATTTTTTAATGACCTGTTCGATGAGGGGACCTGATTGATCAGGGGACTTGATCGATATGAGAATCTGTCTGAGGAGGAGGGGGGCTCATCATTCCAACTCCTGTGTCACGCGTGATATCGGATAATACATCTCGCTGTAGTGAATGCGTGTTCCAACTTTCGTGTCGTTGCATCTAACACAACATAGATTACTGTAATGTCAAGTACATATTAGGTTAGTAAGAAAAGAATGTCGAAATATTGATGCCGCCGACAAAAACCCGTTTGGAGCAAAAACGGCATGAAGTGGTGCCATTGTGTTATACATCATAAGTCAAGGTTTTGGGCTATCGTTTGATCTGTTTTTTCATTTTTTTAAAATTTTTTTTGAAGTTTTAAAAATTGTTAAGAAGATCGAGTTAAGCGCCATTTTTAATATTATACGATGTCAAACTTGGCGACAATGCAACTGCGGCAACCCACATTGCAATCGCGGCGACTCGGAACTTGAGCCCGGCCCGTTTCTCATTTCTAGCAATGGGGGAGGGGGGAGGGGTAGGGAATTTTACGTAAAATGACGACCCCCCCCCCTCCTTTTTTTTGTTTCTACTTGTTTTTTCGCAAAGTTATGAACAAAAACATAGTGCGCATGCAGATATGGCCAGCAGTGTCTTTCCAAAGAAACAATTCATTTTTTCTTCTTCGAACTGTTTTGACCCTTTGACGAGCCGCTCTGAGTATTGTCTTCCTGCATCCCCTCGTCATCCTTCTGTTTTTCAAAACCCTTCGCTGTTTCCTCATCTTCCTTTTTACTCATTAAAGAAGTAGGTGTGTTGTCCCTCTGACTTGCCGCGTTTTTGTTTCGCGGTAAACGTCTTTTAAGGCAGCCACACAATTTGTCGTCCGCCTTCTTAGATTTCTTATCTTTGTCGCTTTTCGGCTTTTTAATTAGAACATCAACAGAAGGAACGCCTTCGCCATCAGAACCATGGTTATTGGTACATGCTTTTTCTTTGTCATTATGAGATTCTGGATCTTTGCTTTGCGACATATTGGATGCCTCCGCTGCACTCGAGTTGTCAGATTCATCCTTTTCTTTTCTCTTTGATTTGTTCGACTTCTTAGCCTTTTTCTTCGACTTCTTACGTTTTTTCTTGCTCTTGGTTTCATTGTTCTTAGACACGTATTTATAAATGAAATAAATACAAATTCCGCCGACCACGATTGCTAACAGCCCACCAATTATGCAGATCAAGCCACTAAAATACGCAGGTTAATGTCAATACTAAGTCAATCTTTGTCTCATTTAAATAAAATAGGTCACCCAAATAAAACTTTTTAATTAAAAAACATGACACCTTTTCACAAAAAGTACAACTTCAAAACTTACGTCGCCAAAAGTGATAGTCCTGTATCGTTTGTGTCAGTGGATACATTGCCAGTAGTCGTTGGTGTTTCCCTAAACGATTTACATTACTAATTTAAACAAAATTGACAAATTTTTCACTCTACCCCCTTCTCTGCAGGCTAGAAGAAAATTCAGTCCAAGTCAAACTCACAATTGCGCAGATGAGGTTGTGAATACGTCGTCAGGATCGGTTACCATTTCAGTGGTGGTGGCTAGTGTTGTACTGGTTGTGGTGGTGGGCGCTTGCCTACAGTTTCAATATATTATGTTATATGAGTATTGCCATTATTTTTAAAAGACATTTTCATTTGACCAGTACAACACAAAAGGTAACAAACCACTCACTCATAGTACAATATGGCAAAGTCGTCCGCACTGGCCTCATCTTTATTCAAATTGGCACCACTTTCTTTCAGTGCATTCTGAAATTCAAATTTTTAAAAATTTATTAAGTTTACAAAATTTATGCTTTTGAAACTTTGCAATAACGTGTCTTAAAAGCATTAAACAATTGTACATATTGCATATATATATATATATATACAAGTAGACATGAAGAACGAGCCGGGCCTACCATCTGGCCGGGCCTGTGCAACATTTAGGTCGGGTCAAGCCTGAAAATCAAGTCGCCTCCCAAAAAAGCCAAGAAAAGTTCGGCTTTTTTAAAAAAAATTCTGACCGGACCGGCTCAAAGCAAAACTTAGACCGGACCAGACTTAACGCTAAGGCCCGGCTCATTCCCCATGTCTAATACACCAGTATAGATATATATAAACTTAAAACACCAAAAAAATGAAAAAATAATATTTGATGTCACATAACTTTAAAAAGAAGAATAAATAAGATAAGAAGATAAGTTACGTACCAGTGATAAAAGCAGTTGCTCGGGATCTTTGCAATCGTAATCAACCAACTTGTAGTTGTTTCCTTTTGCTTCGAGCTTCTTGCATTTGTCTTTACGAAACCATAGGTCGCCAGTCTCCGTACTTCCGATTACTTTTTCATTGAAAAAATCAACGTTGTTGGTGAGGGGTACAAGATCGTTTCCTTCATAAAATTTAAGTGGAGCATCCTTTCCTTGTAGCAAAACAACGTTTCCAGCCATCCAATACTTGTTTTCTGTGTCAGAGGAATGATAAAATGGCTTCTCGCGATTAAAGTTGATCACAAAAAGCCTAAAAAATTAAAGATTTAGCAATAACTTTTAATTTAAATTTTAAAACACATGACTTCAGAAAAGTCTAGAATAGCTGCAAACAGCAGAATGGGGAAAAGGGGATTCTTCTCTATGCTTAAATCGTCATCCGTCACAATATTTAAATTTAAAAAACTTACGCGTTCCTTTTATCTTTTCCATAAGCATAAAAATTGTCGATGTCTTTCAAGGAAAAAATGTAGTTCAGATCAGTAATGCCAGGTTTAGGATCCTTGAACTCTCTAAATATAAAAATTTTAAATAACAAGATTAAGCGTTATAAAAGGGGAAACGTTCTTGCTAACACTGACATTTAAAAACACTTTCCTAAAGTTGCATTTCTAAGGATCAATTATTCCCCCCCCTTCTCAGAACTGACCTATCTCTCTTTTTTTACCAATCCTCAACTTCTCGACTGATTATTTATATTACAAAGCTCAACAGAGAACCAGGAATTTACAGCTAGACATCCGAAGACTAACAAGAAATTTCAGGCTAACATGACATCCAAATCTACATTCAAAAATAGTAAAACTTACTTCTTAGTCGGATCATTTGAATAATGTGGACAAACTTGAGTGATGCTTCGAAAGACGGTTGAATCTTGTGCATTGTGCTTGAAACTCACGAATTTGGCACAGATTACTTGGCCATCTCTTTCGTTCAACACCTTTGCCGTGAGGATTTTCTGGAGAAAACTGGCGTCGAATTCCATCGAGGAGACCAGCGACCGTTCGGCAACGACGAAAAAGCAAAAGTGACTGGGAGAGGAGAGGAAAATTCAAATTTCAAAGTTCAAAATGAAAGTTCGAATTTTTAGCAAGAAAAGAATCTCGAAATTTTGATGCCGGCGACAAAAAACCGTCTGGAGGAAAAACAGCATGAAGTGGTGCCATTGCGTTATATATCATTCGAAAGCCAAGGTTTTAGGTTGTCGTTTCATTTGTTTTTTCATTCTTGTTTACTTTTAATTTTGTTTCTTTGTAATTTTAAAGTTGTTAGGAAAGATCATCTCCCGCGAGAACACGTCAAAGACCTTGGAGATGGCCATACTGTTGAGCGGAATCATTTGAATCATCAAAAGGTAATGATAGGCCAAGAGGTATGGGTAAGGGAAGGGATATAAGTAAGGCAAATGGAGAGATAAAGGGTGGAAGGGGTGGAACCCCAGAAAAAAAAATTTGGAAAAAGTTGAACGTGGCCCCCCCCTGTGGATTCTTTCGATCCCCGCCCCCAGACCAAAAGTCCCTGCCCGGCCATGCAGGTAGGTGTAGAACTACATGTAGAAGCCTATCTCGTCTTTATCCCTTTAACAAATAAACTCCGGGTCTGAAAATCAAAGTCCGGCTTGTTAGCACTTAAAAAAATTTGGGCCTAACACTGAGAAAAATGGGTCTGGCTCGAGAAGTAGGGGGGTAAGAGTAAAAAAAATTTTAAAAAATTGTAAATTTTTGACAAAAATGTGGCAGGGGTAATAGTTTACGTCTAAAAATAGAAGAAGTACTACCTCTCCCTTAAGCAAGTAAATTGTTTTTCAGTACTAGTAGAAGACCTTTAAATAAACTTAAATTTTTAAATTTGTAAGCGTAGCTTGTCTGAGAAGGCAAACACAGTGCTTGCAACACAATGCCAAATTGGCGAGAAACCGAAATAATTTAAATTCAAAACTCAAAAAAATAGAAAAAAAAATTTTTTTATGGGTACTATTGGTGGTGCTAAAAATTCATTTAAAAATTTTCAGCCAAACCTGAGCGGGGCAGGCAAGACTTTCCTTGTTAGATGTCAAACTTGGCTTTGTTGATAAAAGGTAGAAATACATGTAGGAGTGGACTGCAGGAGTGGTGGTAGTTTATGTCTAAAGCTACAAGCAGAGCCGGCGATAGGGGTGAGAAAAGGGCCGGGCCCACTTTTAAGGCCCGGCCCAGGCCCGGGGCCTAACGTTTAGGCCCGGCCCGTTTTCAATTTTCTCTCAGGCCGGCCCGGCCCGGTCAGAAAATTTCTAGGCCCGGCCCGGCCCGTTTTAAAAAATTGTAAAAATTTTAAAACTTAAAAAATAAACGGAAATTTGGCTTTGCATTGTTTTTTTAGATCATTTATGTATCATGCTACCCAATAAAATCAAAAAACATCATCGGGAATTAAAACTAAAAAATTTTAAAAATTAAAAAATTTTTTTTTGGGCCCGGGCCTAATTTTCAAGCCCGGCCCGTTTTAATTTTAGCTCAAGGCCGGCCCGTTTCTCACCCCTAGCCGGCGAGAACTTTTGGTCTGGAGATGGGGGTTGAACAAATCGGCACAGGTAGCTCTGTGCCCACTCTTTGCAAAAAAAAATTTCAAAAATTCACGGACCCGATTAGATGGGTATGGTATAGTAGGTAGCATAGGGAGTATGGTACGGTATGGTATCGAATGTTATGTAGGATTGGTATGTATAGTAAGGTAGGGTAAAAAAGTCAGAGGTAGGGTCGGGTAAGGCTAAGCAGGTTAGAGGTAAACTTGGATAAAGCTATAGAGTTCAGAAGTAAGGTTTGGTAGGGCTAAAATGATCAGGGGTGAGGCCGGGTTGATGTAAAGCAGTTTATTTCACTTGTTATTAGCTTTTTAAACTTAATTTACAAAAGCCCTGTAAATGCCCTGCCCGTGCACCGGGCAGGGCCCAAGCGGGTCCGGTGCCAGGGCCGCAAACTAGGCCCTGCTCTGCCCTACGTCCAAGCCCCGGGGGGGGACCCATTCAACTTTTTTCGAAATTTTTTTCTGTGAGGGCGAAGTCTTTGCTCCTTCAACAAGTAAATCAAGTATAAAAATCAACAAAAAAGACAAAAAATGAATGTAATGCCAAATATTTATTGATGTCCTAAATAGTACGATACTGCAAGTACACTGTTGGCCATCTTTTAATGCACGCTTTATTTTTGTTCATAACTTTTTCCAAATCAACAGACGCGTTCGCCATCAGAACCATGGTTGTTGCCAGAAGGACTGTTGGCGCTACTTTTATCGTTAGCTGCATTACCAGGCGACGTCGCTGGTTTTGATGAAGTTATGTCGGTTTCTTCGTTCTTCTTCTCCTTCAGATAATACTTCCAATAAATGAAAATCGAAATTGCTAACGCCAATCCAAAAACTACACCAACTACGATGGCAATTCTAAAATACGTAGATTAACTTCAATATTGTAAAATTCAATTTTCATCAGATTTTTTTGAAAAATAAATAAAATGGATGATCAAAATAAGTTTTTAATTCAAAAACATGACACCCAGTGCTGGGCGGGGACTTTTGGTGTCGGGGTGGGAGTCAAAAAATTTTTTTTCCAAAAATCCACAGGGGGGACCACGTTCAACTTTTTTCGAAAATTTTTTTGGGGGGTACAACATCTAAACTTACGTCGCCAAAAGTGATAGTCCTGTATCGTTTGTGTCAGTGGATACATTGCCAGTAGTCGTTGGTGTTTCCCTAAACGATTTACATTACTAATTTGAACAAAATTGACAAATTTTTCACTCTACCCCCTTCTCTGCAGGCTAGAAGAAAATTCAGTCCAAGTCAAACTCACAATTGCGCAGATGAGGTTGTGAATACGTCGTCAGGATCGGTTACCATTTCAGTGGTGGTGGCTAGTGTTGTACTGGTTGTGGTGGTGGGCGCTTGCCTACAGTTTCAATATATTATGTTATATGAGTATTGCCATTATTTTAAAAGACATTTTCATTTGACCAGTACAACACAAAAGGTAACAAACCACTCACTCATAATACAATATGGCAAAGTCGTGCGCACTGGCTTCATCATCACTCAAGGTGGCACCACACTCTTTCAATGCCTTCTGAAATACAAAAAATACAAATTACATATGATGGACGTTTATTATCAAAAACTAAAACTGTACCAGTGATAAAAGCAGTTCACTGGGATTTAAGCAATTGTACCCAACCAAGTTGCCTTCTTTTGCTTCGAACTTCTTGCAGGTGCCATTACGAAACCATAAGTTGCCAGCCTTAGTACTTCCGATAACTTTCTCATGGAAAAGGTCAACATTGCCGTTGTTGATGCTTTTTAAATATCTACCTTCATAAAAGCCAACCCTTTCATCCTTCCCTTGTTGCAACACCACGCTTCCAACCATCCAATGCTTTGTTTCTTTCGAATAGGGAACATAAAATGGCTTGTGGCGATTAAAGTTAAAGACGATAAACCTTAAAAATTAGAATTTGAAATATTTTTATACGAACTTCACACTTAAAGCCCATAGACTCTAAAAAAGGTTATAATATTTGCGAACAGATTCTCCCCTATGCTAAACATGTCACTCCGTCACTACTTTTAAATTCAAAGAACTTACGCGCCCTTAACGTTTTGATAGGCATACAGATTGTCGATGTCCTTTAAGGAAAAAACGTAATTCAGATCAGTGACGTCAAATTTGTCATACGTGAACTTTCTAAATATTAAACATGAATAGGTCAGCAGGAAGTTTCAGCAAGACATCCGGTGACTAACAAGAAATTTTATGCTATCGTGACCAGGGCCGGGCGCTGGGGGAACCCCCCTCCCCCAGAAAAAAATTTTCGAAAAAAGTTGAACGTGGTCCCCCCTGTGGATCTTTCGAAAAAATTTTTTCGCAAAAAATCGGCACAGGTGACTAGCAACCTGTGCCAACTTTTTCGACCCCCGCTTTCAGACCAAAAGTCCCCGCATGCCCCTGAGCGTGATACTACAAGATGTTCCAAGAAAAATGCTAAAAACTAAAATTTTGTGACAAAAAACTTGTGGTTCCAACTTTCATCATGCCAAGTTTAACATGTGTAGCTTTGTTGTAAAAATATAGCTCGTTAGATTGTAACATTTTTCTTGAAACACCCTGTAAATCTACATTCAAAAATAGTAAAAACGTACGTCACATTGGGACCCTTTACATAGTGTGGGCAAACATGAGTGGAGCTTCGAATGACGGTAGAATTTTTTGGAATGTGCTGGAAACTCAAGAATTTTGAACAGATTACTTGGCCACCTCTTTCGTTCAACACATTTGCCGCAACGATTTTCTGGAGAAAACTGGCGTCGAATTGCATGGTGGAGACCAGCGACTGTTCGGCAACGACGTAAAAGCTAAAGTGACTAGAAAAGGAATGAAAATCCAAATTTCGAAGTTCAAAATGAAAGTTCAAATTTTTGGTTTCGAAATAAAAATTCAAATTTTGGAGCAAAATTCTCATTTCAAAATGAAAATTCAAATTTCAAAATAAAAAAAAATTTTAAAATTGAAAAAAAATTAAATTGGCCACTTTTTTGATCCGAAACTTGAAACTTTAAAATTGTGATCCTCTAATCATGAAAAGCCGTTATGTTATCATTATAGATCTTACTCTGCCGTGTGAATCGTTTTTGGCTATAAATCTTTTTAAATTTTTACGTCCAAAGCGGATCGGCAAGGTTTCAGTCAATGATACTTTTAAAACCTAGTTCTTAAGCCCGGCTCGAAGGCCGGGTTGGTTTTACACCTTTAGGGTTAGACATTTCACTTTAACCCAAAACCAACAAACGAACTACCTCTCTCCAACCGACGAAGCCAACCAGTTTGAGACGAGAGGAGGGTGGTAAGGGTTTGGTAAAGACTATCAGGACAATTCATTGCTACTGCTCTCAGTGGGGCCCCATTAGTGTTATTGTTTCACGAACTACCGAGCTGTGATGAGGTACTCTTTAAGACTAGAAGGCTGTAGTCGGAAGTCTGTTTAGACTACGCAACCTATTTGCCATAGTCGTCGGGCAGTTAGCACTTCCTATTCATTAGTAAACTACAATGCGCCTGGGTGTGGTAAATCGATCTGTCAAACTTCTGAGTTCGGGGATTCATTGGTCGGCTTCACCACCGACTGAGTCACTCTCCCTTTTACCGAAAAACACTATAGTATTTTAATATATTATACCTTGTTTAAATTTTGAGACAATTGATTAAAAGTAGCAAAAAACATAATGTTCGTATATTCGTTAATATTATAGTAATCGTCTTGAGCAAACAAACAGTCGGTAATAAAGAACATTCGGGGATCTTTGAGCTTTTGGGTTATATTACCTATATAGTATGTGTTTGGCTACATACTCATGTTTTTACGTTTATTCTGAATGACGAAGGGTAATACGGTTTTTTATGTCTTTAGTATGTTATATGTCATACGTGTTTATGTGGTTTAGTTTACAAAGAAAGGTAGAATAAATTTGGTGACAAAGAGTGATATAATGGAGGGTGAGACTAAAAATTCAATAATATGTGAACAAAATGTAAATATTTTTTTGTACCGCTTAGAATACGGTAGAACCTAGAGAACGGTAGAGCTTAGGGTACAGCAGGGCCTAGCGTACTGTAGAACATAGTGTATGGTAATGCCTAGAGTACGGTAGAACCTAGAGTGCAATAGGGTTTAGGGTACACTAAAACCTAAAGCACGGTAGAACACAGTGTACAGAAGTGACTAGGTTACAGTAGGATCCTGTCTACGGTAAGGCCGAGAGTACGGTTGAGGCTAAAGTACGGTAGAAACAGTAAAATTTACAATACGGTAAGACCTAGTAGGGTACAGTAGGGTAGGGTAGGGTAGGGTAGGGTAATTACGTTTACTACGTAATAATCTTCTCAATTAACGTTTTCTTTAAATTTAGAAAGCTATTACGGTAATCCGAGAAGATTGGGCTGGTTCATTACCTGTGTCGTTTGTGGTTGTTTTTCCTGGATTTAAATTATTCGCGGATTACCACTGTTTACACAAGTAATCTGTGCTCGTTCGGATGTAGTAATCTATAATGTTTTTTTTTATATTTGTATATAGAAGATACAGGTTATTGTAATTGATTATATATCTTGTTCTAGTCACACTTTTGTCTTTTCTTCCTCACACTTTACACTTACCCTAGCCAAGTGCTACTCCCGGTCTGACAATTATCTTTTTTTTTGTTCTTTTACAAACCTTTTGATCGTTGAATCTTTTTTAAAATGTGTTACATATTTTTGGACCGTTGAATACATTTTTGGATTTTTAATTTCTTTTAAATTTTTTACGAATTTTTCAACCGGTCGGTATTTTTTTGGGGTTTCTTCGTATTTATTGACCGGTCGATTGTTTTGTTCTACGAGCCTTTTGGTTAAACAATTTTTTATTTTCTATGGCTTTTCTGACCGGTTGATATGTTTTTCTGAGTTTTCTACGTAATTTTTTGACCGTTTATTATATTTTTGTGTTTTCTACTTACTTTTTGACCGGCTGTTATTTTTTAAAATTTTTTACGTGTTTATTGACCAGTCGATATTCTTTTTGAAGTTCTACGGACCTTTGAGTTAGTCAATATTTTTTTTATTTTCTATAGATTTTTTGACCGATTGATATGTTTTTTTGAATTTTCCACGTACATATTGACCGGTCGATATTTTTTTTGAAGTTCTACTGATTTTTTGATTGATTAGTGTTCTTTTAAACTTTCTATGGACTTTTTGACCCTTTTTTTACATTTCTACGTACTTATTGACCGTCTAACGTTTTTTAAAAGTTTCTACGGAATTTTTAACCTTTTAGCATCTTTTTACATTTCTACGTACTTAATGACCGGTCGATATTTTTTAGTGTCTTCTACGTACTTATTGACCGGTCGAAAACATTGTTTCAACTATGTCATCAAGTTAACAATTCTTCTTATTATAAATAGTATATACGTAGACACCATCACATTACTCTGCATATACGTGTTATGTGTACGTGCTCGTATGACTTTATCTATAACAAAGCATGGCCAAGTTTTGTGCCATTCTTTTTATTATGCCGTTGTCGGATGAGAAATGCATGCCTAATAAGCTAACCGAATTTAATTTTCCTTCTTTTTACGAATTTTATTCTTTATTATAGTATGTCTTTTTATGTTGGCGTACGTGTTTTGGTGGAGTAAGGTGAATTAAAAAAAATCAATAGTAGGTAGACGAAATGTAATATCTTTGTAGGGTAAGAATAGGGAAAGGTAGAGTTACGGAATAGATGATGGGGTAATACATGAGGTGGTGCATGAAGTTTAGCATGGGCATGGTTTGGGGGTAGGGCATTCAGTAAGGCGTGGTATAGGTAATATGTTACAACATAAAACAAAGCATGGTTAGGGCATGAGGTAAGACATGGGGCAAGGCATGGAGTAGTGCATAGAGTAGAATATAAGGTATGTCACAGTATTGATTGTGAGTTAGGGCATGGTCTATGGAGTGCGGTAGGACATAGGATAGGGCATGAGACAGGGCATGGTTTAAGACGTGTGGTAAGAGAGTGTAGGGTAGAGTTTTGTGTAGGGCATGGCGCTGGGCTGGGCATAGAGGATAGTACGGGGTAAGTTATGGGGTGGAGCATTGGGTAAAGCATGAAATAGAACAAAAGGTAATTCATGAAGTATGGCATGTGTTAGGAAATGAAGTAGAGCTTGGGGTAGGACATGAGCAAGGTTGGGCGTAGAGGATAGTATAAAGTAGGGAATGGGGTACAGCATGAAGTAGGGTTTGAGGTAGGGCATGAGGTAGGACAAGAGATAAGTCATGGGGTTGAACATAAATCCAGGGCTGGGCAAAGTTTGGGGTAGAGCATGGGGTTGGACAGGAAGTAGGGCTTGAGGTAGGGCATGAAGTAGAGCTTTGGGTACATCATAGCGCATGGGCCACATCATGGTGTAGGGCATGGGTTAGACGTAAAGTAAGGCATAGAATAGAGAATGTTGTAAGACGTACATAGCGTATGTCATTGGATAGGACGGAATAGGGCATGAGGTAGGGCTTGTTGTGCATGCAGCAAGATAATGGTGGAACTAATCCCATGCCCCAACATCACATAGTACAAAAGTTTACTTTTCGTACTTTGCCCAGTCCAGCACGTGGGAAGCCTACAAGGTAAAGATAATACTATTAGTCAGGCTTAGCGTCTATTTTGATACTATACCTTTTTAACAAACATCTTAATTTCACAAACTATGGCAGGCTATAGGGTTTCTTAATGGTCTAGAAAATGCGGTTGAAAAACAAGAATAAATGTAATTACTATCATGGGGGGGGAGGGGAGTGGGGAGAAACAAGGAAATTAGCCTCCAGTCTAATGGTTTCTGATTTTTGAGTTTTTGGGTTTTAAGGCTAGGATTCTGGGGCTAGGGCTCTGGACTAGGGCTCTGGGCTAGGGCTCTGGGCTAGGGTTCTGGGCTAGGGCTCTGGGCTAGGGCTTTGAGCTAGTTTTTTTGGCTGAAGATTACGTTCATGGTCCCAAGTGCGCGGTGTCGTTCCAAGAATCTATATGGATATAACCGATGTTCAGCAAGACTAGTAGGAAACAAAAAACGAAGGAAAAGGAAATGAGCACAAATTTAGCCAGTAGGGAACAGAAGTTACATTTATATGCATGTATATGTAAAGTATGCAACATCAAAAAACGTTCATTTTATACTTTTAAATTTTTTAATTTTTTGTTACCTAATATATTAGAATTTTTTAAATTTTCTGAAATTTTACAAAAAATGCAAAAACTCCTGCAGGAAGTGGGATTCGAACCCACGCATCGATAACGGTACTAGAAGGCTCCGAACCGTCGGGTTGCAACGAAGCTGTTTCGCTTGAGTCTAGCGCCTTAGACCACTCGGCCATCCAGCCCGCTTCATTCCCTCTTTGTTTTCGTTTTGAATCGCTTTAGGGAGGGAAAGGGAGGGTTTTTGGGATTTGGGGTGAATGTTGGACTGTTTTTACTGTTTTTGATAAAAAATGGCAAGAACTTTCTTTACAAAACAAGAAATGGCAAGAACTTTCTTTACAAAACAAAAAGGGCAAGAACTTTCTTTACAAACAAAAAATGGCGAGAACTTTCTTTACAAAATAAAAAATGGCAAGAATTTTCTTTACAAACAGAAATATGCACATTTTTTAAGTCCAAAGTACTGGAAGTCCTACAAGAAGTATTATTTACATGTATATCATGCTGAAAACTGCAAAACGGGATAAGACAACGAAGTATAAGGGAAGGAGGGGGTTTAGAGATTAAATTGAAGCCCCTGCCAGGCCTTGTTTCTT